CTTCGAAGAGTCCATCTCGTCTCTTATCCCACACAGAAAACCACCCTGAGTCCGAGTCCCTACTAGCGACTACTGTTCTCTGTCTGTCTCTCTCTCTCTCTCTCTCCTCTGTCTCTCTGAGCCCTCCACACAGTAACCCTAAGTCTTCAGCCCAAGAAAGGTTCACCTTCTCATTGTGGTCGGAGTGTACACACCCTAAAAAGGTTAGAGCTTACTTAGAGGATCATGGGACTTAGTAAGTAGGTGATAACTGGGGTTATAAGTCCCCTAAGTGGGGTTATCCTAATTATAACCTGCTTATGAGCTTACTTACTAAGTCCCATGAGCCTTCAAGTACCCTAAACCCTGAACCACTCCCTCCCCGCCCCGAAGTACGACTCCAGTGAAGGCTGGCCACCTTGGCTTGTGAGTTTTGAGGGCTTAGGGTTGAAGGTTTAGGGTTAGGGTTTAGGGCGTAGGCTCAAAAGTTTAGGATTCCGGTGATTTTTTAAATGCAGTGGGCCTTTTCGGTGCTGCGACCCTGCCTGTACAGGCTTGCACAGGGCTTGGGGAAGCTGTAGCACTTGGTGACCAATAATGACTAAGAAGCGAAAGGCTTGTTCCTTTTGCTTCGTTTTGAGGTGGGCACCTACTTTAGGCTTGGCACAGTTGTGTGAAGTTGTTGTGCCAGTGTTCTGTTTTGTAGCAGCTTGAACGCTTTCCGAAGTTCTTCGAGGTTTCTACCGGTCCGAATATTTGTTCAGGGTCAATTAGTTTGCAGTGCCCTGGAGCCTTCGAAATATCCGAAATCCGTCGAAAGGCAAGTGAGATGTTCTCCTGAAAAAAAGATTCTCACAGAGGCATAGCAAATAGTAGCGTCATGTCGCGTCGTGGTTTAAGTAAAGAGATCCCGCATTCCTGAACGCCACAAACCAAACCATGACTCAGACCCGGGACCCTAAACTTTCCTAAGCCTTAAGCCTTAATGGTTAATTGAGGGTTCCCTCAACCAAAACTAAACCTAACCCGACTCTTCCCACAAATCCTTGGACTGGGCCCGAAACCAAGCAAGCCCTGCGCCACCGAAATTCCTAAAACCACATCACAGAAGGTATTGTTATTGTCATGTGGGCCAGTTGGGATGCTTTGGCATAGGATTTAAGTTTATGATCTCGCTTGAGAGCCCCGCTCGGTCTTAAGATCCAAACTGCAGACCCTAAACTTAAGTCACCGAAGACACCACTGCCGGTGTCGTTGACCTTAGACGGCAGTTGCAGGAGTCTCTCTGCCGTTTCAAGATGAGGCAATGACAGGTACAGCCGAACCAACGGGTCCGTTTTTTTCTCGAAGATCCGAAACACACATGCACTCACTCCCTCAGTCACTCTGTCACTCTGTCAGTCACTCACTCGCTCACGGCAGACCTTGATACATCGGCCTTGAAGTGCCAATATCGAGACTACTTTGGGGCCAAAGTATATACTATTTGGGCACATGGAACGTTAGGGAGTGATTAGCCGTCAGGCTCGACACCATGAACTGTTGCGACCATCAGGGCGGCTGGCAAAAAATAGAGCCAAACACCCTCAAATTAGAAATATGGCTTAAATCACGGCCCCGTATAACTTGAGGTATATTCCGTAGTTTAAGAGGTGGGGAACACTCCATGGACCTGTCCCTAGCTCGGCTTATTTGTCCTACCTTTCTACCCAACTCAAAGTTCAAGCACGTTGCGCTACAATCGAAACCCGGAGAGCAACACAAATGCTTGTTTGACGACAACACTTACAAGCACAAACTTATGCCACCAAACAGGGTTGGAAGCTTAGTGGTTAGTCGCAACAAGAATCAGACTAATCCATGCTCGTCCTAAAAGTTTCAGTGCTCCAAGGGTAAAAGGAGGGACCCTTAATAAGGACCCCTAGGCATATATCCTCAATATAGCCATTATATTCCCATGATATAGCCCCATTATTATAGGGTAGGGGTCCCCATTAAGGGTCCCTCCTCTTCCCCTTTGAAGTGCGAAATCTGCTGCCGTGTACTTCGAAGCAATGACCCTGACCCTGCAACCCAACCCTAAATCCTAAACCCTGAACCCAGAACCCTAGACCCCAAAACCTAAACCCTGAACCCTAAACCCTAAACCCTGAACCCTAAACCCTAAAATCTAGGGTTTAGGGTTTAGGGTTTTCGCCCACAGCGTCCAAGTACTCCCTCTTCCAGGACTTTAGGGCCTTTTTAGGTATCAAAACCATAAATAAGGACTACTACTTGGACCCTTAGGGTAGGGTACTAAACCATAACAACCTAAACCCTCCAACCCAAGCACTCCAATATCCCGTAATAGGACTACCCCCTTACTTTGCTGCAAGGATCTTGATCAGGGACCCTGAATGTAGGGGATATCAGACTCGAACGAATCCCGAAGCCCAGACCCAAACACGAACACCCTCACAAAGGATGGGTTTAGGTTGGGCACTGCCCCCATACAGTAACAGTCTATAATAGGGCTACTATTAAGGGCCGAATATATCTATATCATGAATATTATCCCCTAAACCCTAAACCCTAAACCCCTAAACCCTAAACCCTAAACCCCTAAACCCTATCAACTGTTACTGAGTGGGGGGCAGTATCCAAGGTTTCGGGTCTTTCGGAGTCCTTAGGGCTTAAAGTTTAGGGATACGGTTGATGATATAAATCCTGCACTACCCATAATAAGGAATATACCATAATTCCCATAGTCTAGGGTCCTTAAGGTCATGCAGGATTTATATCACAACCCTAAACCCTAAAACCCGATCGATCCCTTAAAGGTACCCTTATAGATCCCTTTAAAGGGAACCCCAGGATTTATATCCTCAACCGTAGTAGGGCCCCGAGCCGATAGCATGGCAGCTGTGCGGCAGTCACATGGCCAGACTTTGGGCCACTCTGCCAACTGCTCTGAAGACTTTTCAAGCCCTTGGGAAGTAGACCTTATGAAATAAAGGGAACTCCAGAAAGTTGGAATATGGTTTCAGGGTAGGATACCTTATAATTTACCATAAAGGGCTTAGGATGATCATATTCCAACTTTCTGGCTTTTACTTTAGTGTTTAAGGCTCCCTCCCAACTGGTCCACGACTGTAGGTTTCTAGGAACTCGGGTTTAGGAAGTACAAGATTGAGGGCTTGGGCTTAAGTGCGCTGGACAGCCCACTAATGGCCTGGATGTACCTCTTCGCAGTTCGCGCTGTGCTTCCTTCCGCCGGAATAGTTTACAGCAGAAGCCCAAAAGTTGAAAACCGCATAGCCTCAATCCTTAAGAGTAATCTATAGGGAGTCCCAGCACCATTTGGCCTTACTCCGGTTTCCCACTTCTCGGGGTCCACTATAGGGCTTCAGGCTTTGCGGCTTCAGAGATCGTAGTTTTTGGTAGGGTTTCGTAGATACACTTCTCCGACTGCTGAGCCGTGCCATGCGACGTCAAGATGCTCTATAGGGTTCTATAATAGGTTCCCTTTAAGGGTACTATAGAGGGTTCTATAATAGGGTCCCCTTTTTGGGTACTCATCAACAGAAGTGCGCTTGGACATTTCGCCGGTCTACAAGCCTGGGCTTTGAAGTAACCAGGGGGAAAACGCGATATTATAGACTTTTGTTTCATATTCGTTCCTTGAAGGAACAAGTCCAAAGAAAGTGTTGAGGTATTGCACTCCAAAGCCCGAAGGCTGAACGTCCAAAAACCTAAACCAACCTGGGCCCACCCCCCACCCCCATCCACCCCCACCCCACCCCCATCCCCACCCCTAAACCCTAAACCCTAAACCCTAAACCCTAAACCGTCCCCCCCCACCCAATCTTTGCATGTTGCCCTGAGGTTTTAATTGGACCTGTGAGGCGGCCTAAACCCTAAACCCTAAACCAAGGTTTAGGGTTTAGGGTTTAGGGTTTAGGGTTTATACCCTATAGCTTAGAAGCTGCCCCCACCCTGTAAGAGTGACTATAAGGATTATAGATGATTATATTAGGGCCCTATTATATTCCCATTATACCACTATTACAGGGTGGGGGCAGCTTCTAACCTATAGCCCTCATCCCAAAAGCTCAGAACCATGTTAGGGTTTAGGGTTTAGGGTTTAGGGCCCTCATCCCAAAAACCCAGAACCGTGTTAGGGACTGAGGGTCTCGGGTTGAGGACAAGCTCATCAGGCTTCCGGAACAAATCTGGCCAAATGCCCCGTCCTTAAGGACGAAATGAGCCCTGAAAGGGTTTAAGGTTCATATACCATATAGGGATTCATAGTATATGCTTATAGGGCCCCTACTTTTAAGGGTCATTTGGTCCTTCAGGCTTGTCGAACAATTGAAGGTCTGATGTAAGAATATCGCGTGAGCACGATGAACCACTTCTTTGGAATTCACCACCTCACTCCTCTACACGGTGCAACTACAGCAACAAGTACCACAACTGCTGCTGCTACTACTACTACTACTACTACTGCTACTGCTACTGCTGCTGCTGCTGCTACTGCTACTGCTACTGCTACTGCTACTGCTACTGCTACTGCTACTGCTACTGCTACTACTACTACTACTACTACTACTACTACGACGACGATGACCAAACAAATGCTTTCCCATAGCACCAACCTGGATCGGAGAGCGATGTCATTGCATTACTCCCTTGTGCAACCTGCCGGCTTTGGGCACGACTCCTCACGATGCTAAGACTTACGGTTGATGATACAAACCCCGCATTACCGTAATGGCCCTAGGCCATGGGAATTATGGCATAATCCTTATCACGGGTAATGCAAGGTTTATACCATCAACAATAAGACTTATGCCACTACCCGAGCACCACACTGTTCGCATATGGCAAAAGATACGAACGGCTTAAGCCCTAAACCATCTTAAACCCTCCACCCCGAACCCCCAAATAACCACTAAGCGCTACATTCAACTGTAAGACCTTGAACCCTATCGCAAATGAACCCTCCAAGGAACCCTAGAACCTCTTAAGACGCTAAAACACTATTCCAGTGAAACTCTGGCCATTGCCATTGCCAAGGCCGCATTTGCAAGCCAAGGCCACGCGAAGGCAGCGCTACTGCGCCAAGGCGGTGCCTGTTTCTCTTAGGGTTTAGGTTTCGTGATTTAAGGTCTAGGGTCGCGGGCTTAAGGCTTAGGGTTAAAACTTGGGGTTTAATAATTTAACGCTTGGCGCTCGAGGTTTAAAGAATAGGGTTTGGGGCGCCGATAATTTCATCAAGACTTTTGTCCAGCGAGGTTTTGGAGTTGTTTCTGATACTCCGTTAGGCTTCAAAGGAGGGTTCTGGGAGCTTCTGTATCCTCTTTCTTTCCCAAAGCGTCCTGGGGTTTCCGGAAATAGGGGTACATTATTTTGGGGTGCTTATAATAAGGATCCTACTTTTTAGGGTACTATATTAGGAGGGTCCCCTATTTTCGGAAACTCCCATACCGAAACCTCACCTAGAACGATGTGGGGGGGGGGGTTGCGAGGCCCGGGGAGGCGTACCTAAATGGAGGTCCCTTTCCGGCCACCTGCATGAGAAGCCATATCCGAAAACAGGGGACCCTAATATAGATAGTACCAGGATACTAAATATAAGGACCCCCCAACAAAGCACCCCAAATTTTCGGAAACTCCCTTTTAGTTCAGAAAGCCCGTCTCCTGTAGCCGTAGACGGAGCTTCAGAAAAGAAAACTAACGAAACGCTTGTATAAGTCGCAACCTGCTTGCTATACGGTCCGAAACAAGGTAATAACTAAGGTAGTTACCATTGAGGAGCAGCCGATTTGTCTCGGGCATAAGGTTCAGGGTCGCCCCGAAACCCTGAGATGAACTGTGTTGAGGGTTTAGGCTTTAGGGGTTTAGGGGTTAGGGGTTTAGGGTTTAGGGGTTCAGGGGTCTGCTGTGCCTCTTGCACGCCTGCGGCAGCGGCGCAGAAGCCATGCGGCGCAAACCCGTAGACAAAGCGGAAGTTGTACCTCCGCTTGTGTCTTCGAAAATCCACCTTAAAGCCCGAACTTGTCTTGACTTGCAAGTTCAGGATACTTCTCATGGAGGTTCAGAATAGAGAGGATGGCCATGCAGAACGGATCCGTGTCTCAATACCTCTTGCGCTCGCAGACTTATTCACGACAATTATATAACGATAACGCAGCGCAGGCCGGATATCCATCTTTCGCTCAAACTGCCATTCACCTTCACCAAAGCATGCCTGTGAGAGTGTGTAACCACAGTGCAGTCTTCAACTCCGTGGCACCTAGCCAGACCTGCGCAAGACCACAGCTTATCCTGGATCCCTCGCAACAACAACAACAACCACCCCCGGCGCCCTAAAGCCCAAACCCTACGAACCCTGAGACGCCCTCGAGTTCGACCCGTAGCTCTGAAGGTCGCACCCATAGACTTTGCGTCTCGACGCTGAGACGAAGAGCACCTTTAAGGTGTCGGGGCCGCCGATGCTTTAAGGGCCCTACTTAGACCCCCAAACTACCCTCTAATATACCCTATAAATACCCACTACTGTTGATGATAGAACCCTGCATTACCCAATACAAGGAATATACCCGAATTCTCATAGTCTAGGGTCATTAAGGTAATGCAGGATTTACATCACAACCCTAAACCCTAAAACCCTATCGATCAGTTAAAGGAGCCCCTTAAAGGTACCCTTATAGATCCCTTTAAAGGGAACCCCAGGATTTACATCATCATCAACCATATTAAGGTTTCACGAGGGCTCCGTAGGGCTTACGGTTTTACGGTTTACCTGGACCCGGAAGAACCTACCCTTTTAAGAACGTATATAAGGAAGCCACATTCAGGAACCCTAAAAAAAGTATGATCTTCAGGGGTCCAGTTAGGGCTTGGGGCTTTATATGGGCTTGGGGTTTAGGGGTTTAGGGGTTGATGGTTCAGGGCCCCCGACGTTTTAAGGGTCTTTTGCATTGTAGGGCTTGGGATTTAAGGTTTTGGCGGGTTAGGGTTTAGGACTTTATGAGGGCTTCATTGGTTTAGGATTTAAGGGTTCGGGGTTCAGGGCCCCCCATGTTTTAAGGGTGGACAAAGTTTAGGTGGTTTAGGGTTTCCGGACGTTGTAGCAAGCAGGGAGAAAAAAGTATACACGTTTACTTCATAATGGTTCCTTGAATTGAAGGTCAAAACAAAAATCAATAATGGTTCAAGTATGGTACTGCAGAACCCGGGTTTATGGTTTTTCGGGTTCTTGATTAAGGGTTTTGTGGGTTTAGGGTTTCAGGGCCCCCAATGTTTTTAGGGCTTAGGGTTTGGGGTTATGGGATGCTGCAGGTTCCAAGGGCTTGGGGTTTCGAACAGTGTCTGGCTCCAGGGTACTACAGGAACCTGCGGCGGCCTTTGCGGTCTTGGTTGGTTGCTGGCTCAGCCGCACTGTGCCAAAAAAGCTAGGAGTAAGGGCATGGGAGTCTGTTGCGGAGGATTGCCCTTGCAGCCGCCTGCTGTCTGAGTCTTCGAAACTTCATAGGGTCCAGGTAGGGTTTAGGGTATTTTCCGGGTCTCGAGACGCCAACATGCTGGCACAGAAAACCCAGCCCTAATGACCCCCCCGACTGCCTGAAATCCATGAAACACGATGCTGATGCTATAAAATGCCATGGACATGAAAGTATCCGATTCAAACCTGCACAAGCACCCTAGAAGAAGCAGTCAAAGGCACTGTAAGCCCTGCACACCGACAGCACTAACCCTAAACCCAGCCGGGAACCTCCCACAATTCGTCGGTAAGCTTTCGGACCGCGAGACCGACTGCGTTTTCAACATCCACCTGCGAGTTTAAGGTTTGAGGTTAAGGGTTTAAAGCTTCGGGTTAAGGGTATGTTTGGGGCAGGGTTTCAAGTTTCGGGTTCAGAGTTAACCGGACGAAACATCCTTAACAGAATGCCCAAACTCGTTTTGTTTCTGTTGCTGTTCTATCTGTTACTCGTGGATAGTTAAGGTTCGGCAGCCCTTTAACGAACACAAACAACTATACTGAACTTAGAACCCTAGCAAAAATTAAAAATTTAGCTGTTTCTTAGGGATTATAATAACCAAAAAAATTATTTCTAAGTACCCCTAAGACAAGAGGTTTTGGGTTCACGGGGTAAGGGCTTTTGGGGTTGTGCTTTTTGTGGGACCTTTTCTGGCGCCTCCGGGCATGGGGCTTGCTGATACTAGGATACCCAGTAACCCAAGAATAAAAAGGCCTCTCTTTTTGGTATTGGGTAACTTTATAAGGAACCTAGGACTACAAAAAGGGAATAAGGGTACTACTCGGCCTCCTAGCTTCCTAACAGAGGGATGTCCTTGTCCTACTGTTTGCATATGTAATGTTCTGGTGACAGAACCAACAAAAGAATCGAAGTAAGGGTTCAGAAGTGGGCTTCTTACACAGTGTGGTGTATATGTGAAAAGTCGACTGTTGTTGCAAACATCTTCAGAACCCTCATGCAAAAGAGCTTTTGGCCTGTATAAGAATAGGGAGCGATTGAACAACGACGTCCGAAAGACACCCAGCCAAACTATACCCCAAACCCAACTCTCAGTCGACGTACGACATCTGGGAATTTTCCTTTCAAGGGACCCTTATAATGTCCTATAGTAGCCCTTTAAAGTAACCCTTATAGTACCCTTATAGTAGCCCTTTAAAGGAACCCTAATTTTTGGAAACTCTCAACTGGGAACTGAACCGGTATTCAGGGAGGATGTGGCTTCGGGTGTCGAGCTTCAGGGTGAGGATAGCTTCCGATCCCCGTAACCTACTTCAAGGCTCCTGGGGCTTAGTAAGTATCAATTAGGCAGGGTTCTACAATAGGGTTCCCCTTTAAGGGTTTAGGGACTACTTCAAGGCTCATGGGGCTTAGTCTTTGTATAAGTAAGGTTAGAGTTAGGATAACCTCACTTAGGGGACTTCTATCCCCAGTTACAACCTACTTACCAACTCTCATGATCCTTTAAGTAGGAATACCCTTGAAGGTATTGGGTAGTTTATTGAAAAGAAGCCAGCACCATTAAACAACACAAAACGAAAGAAAAAGTGCCTCAGGAACCCCCTACAACTCGCCGATGTGGGGTTATCCTAATTATAACCCTTCTTACCAAGTCCCACGAGCCTTTAAGTAAAGACGCGTGAGTTCCAGAAACAAAAGATTTCGACCCTGAAAGTTAAGTTGTCAGACAGGGTCTAGGATTTAGGAGGCATCGTTGAGCAGGACTCCGATCACAAAAAGTTTAGACAGCCAATCGAGAAAAAATAGCAACAAACACATGTTGGCCCGCACCTCATAACACACAGTTCTATTCTCTAAACCCTAAACCCTAAGCCTCAACCTCAAAGAAGCCAAACTCTGACCTGGTGTTGCTCCAGGAGCTGACCCGGCAAGCCAGAAGCCAGGACTTCGAAAATCAGCACCTCAGATCTTAGCAACCCTGAGCCCAAAACAGTCCTTCAAAAAGACTGTTTAGGGTTTAGGGTATAGGGTTTACTTCCCAAAGGCCAGCAACCCTTAACCCAAAACCGTCTTCTTATTTCCCAAAGACCAGCATCCCTAAACCCTGAACCGTCTTCTTACTTCTTACTTCCCAAATACTCAACCCTTGGGGTGCGAGCACTCCTTATTATGGCACTTTGGGGCCGCTTTGTGTGCTAAAATAAAAGCCATGAACAAGGACAACTTGGACTTCTAGGGCAAAGGCGTAGGAGCTTAAACCTTCAGAAGCAACAGCCCAACTTATCAACGCCATTCAAAGGCCATTAGGGCAAAGTTGGGCGTTGAACGACCAGAAGACACCCCTAAACCCTAAACCCGAGGTACACATCTTTGGGTTTGTCGAAGATGTTTTCCTTCTTGTGGAGGGAAGGTGCTGGTTGAGGGTTTAGGCTTTAATGGAAGCCCCAAAAAAACACCAACAAACAGCTTTGAAGGTGTTTTACCTGGAAGAGATTAGTTTTTTCACGGTTGGTGTTTGCTTGTTTTGGGCATTTTGTGGTCCTTCCTCTTCCTGGATCTAACAAGGGTCTAGGGGATTTCTCAGGCTAAGTTTACGATGATCTCTTACCAATGCGACCTAAACGAGTGCTACTGTTGGGAAAGATGTTGTTCCAGGACGACGACGAACGACGACTACTGCAGCAGCTGCAGCGCTGCTACTACATCTACCGCTCCGCTGCTACTACTGATTGCTGCTTCTGCTACTACTATGAAGACGACGACTACCATGACCACGACCACAGCGCGAGCACGACTACGACTACAACACACTACAACTATACGACAACAACCACCACTACCAGTGCTACCGCTGCTAGACTCCTGTGTAGAGCTCTTTCGCTCTTAAAGCAACAGTAAGCCTATGAAAGCAGAACCAACCGAAATGGAACCCCACATCGGAATCCTATTAATCGCCCGAAGTCCTCAACCCTGGACCTTAAACCCTATAGACCCCACAAAGGGTGGGTCTGAGGGTCCTCGCGTGGGTCGAAAGCCCGTCGTCATAGCTGACAAACAGGTACCTGTTCTTAGTTGCTGAGTTCATAAGCACCAAAAAGTGTAAAGTGTATCCACCTAGCTACTAAGTGTGTCTTGTTCCTTGTAAACTTATCTGATTTGGGGGTTCAGGCTATCACTGGCCCTTCTCCCCGCCTGCGGATGTTGGGGTTTATCCAGGCGGGGGCCCAAGGATGAGGTGAGTCGAAAGCTTGGGAGCGTTTAGGGCTTGGGGCTGAAATCCAAGGGTAGAAGGAGGGACCCTTTACAAGCATCCCTAGGTATATACCCTTGATATATATATATATATATATATATATATACACACACACATACATACAGCTATTATATACCCATTATATGGCCCGTCCCCATTATATAAGGGTCCCTCCTTTTCCCCTTTGATGGTTCAGGGTTTGGAGGGCTTCGGGAAGTCTAGGGTTCAACGCGGCAGGGCTGGGGGTCTACAGCTGGCTTCTGCGGGGCTGTTCTGGCATAGGACTTCTGGGGTGTGGAGCGCCAATGCAGGGCATACCCTACACAAGAAACCAAACCTCATTACAAGCTAAAAGCCCAGCCGCATAATATAGGGGCCTTAATAATTAGAATAGGGTTTAATCCCCAAAATAGTATAGGTAATTATTGACGGCCCGATAGTAGCCTTGCATCTCAAAACACAGCGAGCCAGCCACTCCGTAGGACCTCTAACACACCCCCTAATATCAGAACCCGACTGCCAAGGGAGAAGGCTTCAAGTCGGAGGGGGGGGGGGCGGCTATGGATGCTCCTACTACTCCTCCTGATACTGCTGCTACCACCACCACCACCACCACCACCACTACTTAAGGCCTAGATGGCCTCGATAAACCTTCTAGAAAGCACGGCTGTGCAGTACATGGGGTGCGGTTGCCGAAACAGAAATAGCGGCTTCGATTTCGGTTTAGGGTTTAGGGTGTACGGTTGTTTAGCGTTTAGGGTTTAGGATTTAGGGTTTAGGGCTTAGGGTCGGCATCCCCAACTGCCCTGGAAACTGCTGGGCACCCATCGCTGTACTCGATCCCTGCAACGTGCTTGTCGCCCTGCGCGGGGTTTCAGGTTCAGAGTTTAGTTGAGATAAGGGTTTAGGGCTTTCTTGGAGGGATTGTTATGATGAGGACTCAAAAAAGCAAGGATAGACACCCTAAGCCCTGGACCCTAGCTTTACATGTGCTAAGCAACTCAAGAGTCTAGAGGTTCTAGGGCGTGCAGAAACTACCCCTCGAAACGCTTCAGAAACCCGTCTGAAAGGCTTAGAAGCCGATTGAATACACACCAAAACGCAGCTACAAACTTAGAACCTCCAAGCCCCGGCCCCTACCTGGGGATCCGAAAACCTATGCTTTTAGGGGTTACCCCCTATAATTATCCAGGAAACCTAGTCTTTTAGGGTTGGTTTAGGGTTTAGGGTATTGGGGTTTAGGGTTTAGGGTTTTGGGGTTTAGGGTTTAGGAATCATAATTAACCTATTATTTGGTCGGTCTGGGGATAAAGGTAAACCGTACGATAAACGGTTTTCTCTCAGGATCCCTTCGCGGTCCAAAACACGTTAAGCCTTGTGAGACACTCACGATCCATTTGCAGTAGCGATTGAACTCAGCAGCTGCTAAGCACAACCGTCACTACCACAATCTCTGCTCTTTCCGTGTGGGATATTGGAGGGTTTTTGGGCTTAGCTGAGGCTCAACATGTGTAGAAGAATGAGCTTGAAGGCCTTATCGAGCTTTTACATCACTTAGGAGAGATTTATGAGGCCCATGGTATCTTAGTCAAGTACAACCTGTTTGATTGCCGGTTCCCTAAAATGCTGCTCTGGACTAGCATCACCTGCCGTTTCTTTGGTACGGTATCCATAAAGGCCTTCCCCTAGGCCCGTAGAAGTTGTATAGTCAGCAAATGTAAGCTGTGGCAGTTTCAGATGCGAAGTGTAGACTTGTCAGGCTTCATGATGTGCTCATATCTTAAATCTTATACAGTTGGGCCTCGAATCTTTCAGGCCTGAGTATGTACTATGTAGGCACAGGGGCCCCTTAGAGAAGTGTAGAAGTCCGATGACCCAAACCTGGTCCCATAGGATCGACCATCAATCCGTTTTCAGCGGGCGTCGCAAAGGAGTTCTACATGACATTACTTAGAGGACCATGGGACTTAGTAAGTAGGTTATAATTGGGGTTATAAGTCCCCTAAGCGGGGTTATCCTAACTATAACCTACTTATAACCTTACTTTCTATGAGTCCCAATGAGCCTTTAAGTAGGGTCCTAAGCCCCGAACACATTAATTCCTGAACCCTTAATCAGGCCCTAATCCACACAACCCTTAAACCCAAAAGCTGGAACTGAATCCCGAACCCTATACTCCAAACTACGGTTGATGATATAAATCCTGCATCACCCATAATAAGGAATCTACCATAATTCCCATAGTTTAGGCTCCTTAAGGTCATGCAGGATTTATATCATCAACCGTAGGAGGGGCTTTTAAAGCCTTTGAAAAATATTAGTAGGTAAGATCCTCTTAAGCCCAATAAGAGAAAGTATAAAATGTCCCAAAGCCCTACCTAGCAAACTGAACCCTAAACCATCCGAAAGCCCTTAAAGTTTGCTAAAGGCTCCCTACCCTACTATTGAGCCGTAAACCCTAAACCCCGAACCCCAAGCCAAACAAAACCCGGCCTAAACCTTATAAGTGTTTTTTTCGAAAGCACCCTAAACCCCGAACCCAAAACCAAACAAAACCCGGGCTAAACCCTATAAGGTGACCCTTGGCCTGGAGGGGCGTCCAGATCTTAATCGACTCAGCCGGAGCCTTGCGGAAGTGCAGAGATGGATAGAGCACAGGTAACCCCAGGTAGAGTAGCCATTAAGGACGACATGAACCCTAAAAGGGTTTAAGGCTCATATATCATATAGGGATTATGGTATATGGGTATAGGGCCCCAAGGGTATATGTACCCGAATAGTGTATACTTTGGGCCATGTTGGGCCCAATGTGCCTATATAGGGAGTACTCTAAGGTCAATGTATATACTAGCTGGGTACATGGACCCGGATTAGTAAGTTATAGTACGTTATATCATAGTACGGTATAGTATGGTATACTAGAGTACAGTCTAGTGTAGCATGGTATGCTATGGTATGGTATAGTGCCGTGTGGTACAGTATAGTATAGTGTGGTGTAGTATAGCCTTTATTTTACAATGAAGCGCAGGATAATATGGTAAAGCATAGTATAGCACGGTATGGTGAAAGTAACGGGCCCTAAACGATTAGAATAGTAGGGTTTGGGGGCACGCTATAATATAGTAATAATAATAATAGTAATAACATTACTAATTTGGTGCTCCCAGAATAGTGTTGGTAAAAGCTATGGCCTCTACATTGGACTGTGTTTATCCAAGGGTACAAGGAGGGACCCTTAATAAGGACCCCTAGGTATATACCCTTGATATAGCTATTATATACCCATCATGAAGCCCATCATAGGGTAGGGGTCCCTCCTTTTCCCCTCTGAGTTTAGGTTCATCTTTGCGGTTTGGGACGGGCGGTGCTGAGCGTACAGCCTCAAAGCCACGACCTGCTCTGAGGCCTGAAGCTACTCAGAGGATCATGGGGCTTAGTAAGGAGGGTTCTAGTTGGGGTTATAAACCTACTAAGTGAGGATAATAACCTACTTATGACCTTACTTTCGAAGTCCCATGAGCTTCTAAGTAAGCCTCTGAGTCCTGAAGCCTGGCCTCAGAGGCCTAAGCTCAGCACAAAATCCCAAGCCCTCAACAGGGCTAAGCCTGAAACAAAGTCAGAACCCTAAACCCTAAACCTCAAACCCTTAAATCCATAAACCCCTAAATTTCAAACCCTTAAACACTACAACCTTAAACAGAATCCCTTCGCCAGCCTTGGGCCCTTCATTGACGAGCAGAGGGGCCTCGTAAATGTAGACCTCACCTGGGTGCTTCGAGGGTTTCGTTAGTAACTTTAAGTAACGGCTTTAGGGTCCCTCAAGGCCTTAAGGGTTTAGGGGTTTAGTTTAGGGTTTGGGGCTTAGGGTTTAGGAATTTAGGGCTCAGGGGATGTCGCAAGAAGGCTGTAATTGGGGTTATAAGTCCCCTCAGCGTGGTTATCCTGAACCCTAAACCTTAAATCCTAAACCCTAAACCGAGTTATCTTTATAGCCTCCTTGTCAGTCGGCTTAGGGTTTAGGTTTCTGGGTGGGTTTAGAACTCGAAGTTTACGGCCTCTAGGAATGTATATATAATGATGCGGGATGGTGGAGACAAGATAGTCCAAACGTCATAATAACGAAAATCATCGAGGGTGGTGATAATCAACATGACGGCGATGACAGTGGCGATGATGATGGTGACTTGGAGGAGGAGGCGGAAGAGGAGCAGGAGGAGGAGCAGGATGAAAAGGACGCGAAGGCGCACAGATAAGAGGACGTTGATGATGCTGATGCACAAACCGCATACCTGACCTAGATTCAGGCTCCGGGCTCAGGCAGAAGTTGTGTAGCATCAGGTCTACAAGTGTTTTGATGGCTCACGACCACTGCAAACTGCCCTCCAAGCAAGCACTGAACCCAAAACAACATGGCATTCATGAACAGCGCTGCAAACTCAGGGCTCGGATTTATTGGGCTACATAGTTCGGACCGGTCGGCTTTGGCAAAGATTGAGGGGGCTGAGAGCTTGAGGGTTGTGGCCGACTAGGGTTCAGGCTGTCTGGTTGCTGGTCGGGTTCGATCGACGTGAGAAAACCTCGTGCCGGTAGCGCTGAAGGAATAGGCCGAACACAACAGGAACACGAAGGTGTTGCCTAGAAGTCCGACGCACCGACTGCCGAACTAGGCCGCGACGTCTAAAGCCTGAACCTAGGAGGCACCCTTAACAATCGAGACTAATGCTTCAATGTGGAACTCAGCAGTAGAAATTGCGTAGCTTCGCGAGTGAACCCTCATTGATAAACAAAGGTACCTTTTTTCCTGCTAAGTGAAGGAATCAATAGATCAAATTTTCGGCTGACAAAACTTTACTAGCTAAAGGAAGCCCTACATTTACAAGCTTAAGTCGTGTGCATTGGCTTCTTTGCAGAACTTACAAACAAGGAGACCCCAAAATCGAAAAGCCATCAGGTCGCTATTGAGGGCCTCACACCGCCTAACACCGAGCATGTTGTTCATATTCTTCATAATGGTAGTTCCCTGTACGGACCCGAGACATCCTACTTTTCAGTGTTCTTGACCATGATTGCGTCGAAGGCCTTTAGTTTTTACTGGTCCTGGTACACCCTACACAGGCAACTAAAACCTGAGCCTTACAGATGAAACTCTAATCCTGATCATGTCTTCGAATTCCGCTTTCCTGCCAAGACACCCGAGATTTCTGTGCCGACGTAGAAGTAGCCCTGGTGCAGGGATCAAAATTGGATCTTATGACACCTTAAACACAAAATCTTTAGGGCCTATAGCCCTCAGACAGAGCCCTGTTATTTATGTGTAAATCTACAATCTACAAGCTTTATCCGCCGTGCAATACTATAGCGCTAAACCCTTTCAGCCCTGCAAGACCTCTGTAACCCCTACGTGTATACCCAAACCCTACTCAAGAGCAGGTTATGAGCCCTGCAATTAGAGTTGGGTCTGACGCCGAAAACAACAGGTTTTCGGATGCTCTAAATGTCATGGCTTGGGATCACCTTAATGAAAACCACAATGCAATAAACCCGAAAGGGTTTGGGGCCTGGGTTCAGGATACTAAAAAAAAGACGCAAACTCCGAAGCAACAACAACCTAAAGGATGCATGGGTGTTGTAGATGACCGCTCCGCAGGATCGTCGGACTCAGGAAAGGCGTTAATGAAGTTCCCGGCTGTCTCATGGGTTGCCGCCATGTTTTAGTCCTTAGTGTGTGTAATTCAGTACCTTGGCATGATGCTTCCGGAAGCACACCAAGTCGTTTAGGATTTAGGGTTTTATGGTTTGGGGTTTAAGGGTTTAAATTTATTTAAAGATCCGACATCCAATATCCGCACACATTGGCTGAAGGCAGGGGCAAACAGATTGCGCAAAGTTTGTGTGTATCATGCGGACAGCTGGACCTAAGTCTCTGTACTGGTGTAAATTTTGACATTGGAGTACCTATATAGGAACCTCGGCCGGAACCTCGGCCTACACCCTTAGACGAACCTCGAAGCTCGCAAACTCAGCAGTTCTCTATACCCCGATCGCTAACCCTACCAGGACCTACTTAGTGTAGGGCCCCCCCCAAATCTTATGCTCTGTAGGGTGTACCCTGAACACTAAACCTCCTACAGAAAGAGGGCTTCTGTAAGGAGGCCCCTCTACCAAAAAAAGGAAAACACTTTAATCCACACCCAACGCCAAAACCGGGCACTCCCTACCAGAACTGCCTTTTGGGGTCCGTGTGAATTCTATACTAAGCTTTGTTTGTGGTTGCAGTAAAACCAGACCAAAAAACTGGGTTCCAGTGAAATCCTATATATAGAGCCTTACTTAAAGGCTCATGGGACTCAGTAAGTAGGGTTATAAGTAGGTTATAATTAGGATAACCCCACTTAGGGGACTTATAGCCCCAATTATAACCTACTTACTAAGTCCCATGATCCTTTAAGTATGATTTGGGGAAGTATTCCCCATACGAGTAACAGTACCTAGGACCCTGTGGGAAGACCTTGAACCCCAAACTGCTGAATCATGAACTCCTAAATTCCTAAACCCTATACCCTAAACTCCTAAAACCTATACCCTAAGCCCCAAACCCTATATATATATGTTATATATATATATATATATATAGATGTAGACTCCTTAAACACCTTAAGCCCTAAAACCCTAAACTTCAAACTCCTGAAAACTATACTACCTCTACCCTAAGCCCTAAAACCTAAACTTCTTTAGATCCCTTTAAAGATCCCTTAAAGGGCCCTTTCATGAACCCTAAAACACCTCTACCCTAAGCCCTAAAACCTAAACCCCTCTAGATCCCTTTACGGATTTCTTTAAGGAGCCCTGTGCCGAACCTTTAACCCCTAGACCCAGAGGGTCCAAGTACCCAAATAGTAGGGTTTCAGGTCCCAAAATCCATACTCTGAATTGTTTTTGGACCTTGAAACCCTACTATTTGGGTACTTGGACCCTCTGGGAGACCCAAGAGTAACCCAGGCATAAAAAGGATGCCCTTTTTGGTTTAAAGGGGCTTATAAGGCAACCTGAACCCTAAAAAAGGGAATAAGGGCCTACTCGAGGTCCCAGAACCTTGAACCCGAAACCTAAACTTCTTCAGATCCCTTTAAGGATCCCTTAAAGGGCCCTTTCATGAACCCTAAACCTTTAACCCTAAAACCTTGAACCCTAAACCCAGGACCCACAAAGCCTGCTGATCGCTTGCTGTAGTTGGAACAAACGTGACGCTCCGCAGGCCTTCCGCGGCTTCAGGTTTAGGGTTTAGTCTTGAAGCCGAAAGGGTCCAAAATACCTATATAAGAGAATGTGGGTTTCTACATTCGGAATTGCTAATTAATTATGATTTTGGGAAGTATTTCCCATAATAACAGTGCCTAGGACCCTTTGGGAAAGGCTTAAGGGCTAGGGTTTGGGTTGTTTAGGGTTTACGGTTTGCGGGTGTTTGAGGGTTAGGGTTTTAAGGTTTAGGGTTTCGGATTTTCGGGTTAGGGTTTTAGGGCTTAGGGTTTGAGTTTTTTAGGGTGAGGGTTTTAGGGCTTAGGGTTTGGGGGTGTCTTCCCTTTGCAGGTCCGGCAGGGTTTCGGGTTACGGTCTTCCTTCGGGCTTTGAGGGTCCAACACCAACTCGATTCACTTGTCTTTACAGGGGTTCATTTAAAAGGATCTATAAGGGTACTGTTATAAGGGTTTAGGGTTTTGGGCTAGGGTTGAGGGTTCCTGAGTAACCCCAAACCCTAAACCCTAAGCTCTAAACCTTAAACCCTTCGTAATAAGGGTACCCGAACACGGAGGAGTCGCGCAAAGTCCGGAAAAAGCGGGGCTTCACCTTTCTCACAATCCTCCGGTCGCCCTTCTTGGGCTTCTTGCCCTTCTTGAAGCATTGCAGTGTTGATAAGCTTCAAGGCTTTCGGCCTCGGGTTCCAGGCTCTTCAAATGGGAGTTTCCGAAAATTGGGGGTACCTGATCTCGGGGCCCTTATACTAGGATCCTACTATTTAGGGTCCCCTATTTTTGGAAACTCCCAAATGTGGGCCAGTGATACTGCAGGGCAATGGCAAGTTTTGCGGCCTTGGTGCTCAACCGTGCCATTGCAGCGGCTGTGGCGCATGCCTACCGCCTATGTGGGAACTGGTACTGTTATGCTGTATCTCGCCGTATATGTATATGCCCCACAAATTCAGACGTATTTTCAAATCTCAGTCTGGTTTCTGAGCTATCTCAGACCGCGGCACGCGTTACCATACCTATCACAAACACTCAGTTGAGTCGCGTATTCGTAGTCCGCTCGCAAAGGTTCCAGGTAGTGTTCTTGGTCATACGCACCTTGGTAATTCTGGAATGCCTTCATAAGCTTGTCGCACGTGTCCTGTTTATTGCCTTGCTTCTTGTCAAGCCCGAAAACCTGCGTCAAGGAGTTCTTCATGTCCCCAAGCACGATTGACGAAAATCCTTTCTCGCTGGTAAGGAAGACCATCTTTCGCGAACGAATCCATGTAACAACAGATTTTCTTACGTAGTTCTGAACAGCTCTGCTGTTGTACGTCTTCCAGTCTGCGCAATGAACTCCGCCGACGAATTGTCCGTTCGTTGAAAGCCCACAGCCATGGGTGCGACCGGCGATCAGGGTCAAACACTCATTTCGTCAATAATCCGAACCGTTGATCACCTCCAGGGCCTACAAATCTACGACGACGGAAGGTCGGCCAATGTGTTCCGGCCTCGTTTTGTGGCTGGCCCAAAAATCCACAACCCTTTAGGTCAAAACAGAAAAGCCTACAGTGACACCCCGAACCCGAAACCAGAAATCCAAAATCCAAAATTCTGAAGCTCGGTAGTGCGCACTTGCCCGCTCCTTTGGTGCTTATGCTGGCACACTTAAACTGAAGCTCGACAAACTTGAGATCGAGGACGGGGCTAGGAAATGAAGAACATGCTGAAGCTCCTCGAAGGGTCCATGCACTTCTGCAGTACCGTCGATAACACGGCAAACCCTAAACCCTAAACGGATTCTCAGACTTTCGTGCCCCACATGCCACAGGGACTTATGAAAGCTCTGCTCAAGTGCGCCTAAACCTGGTAGTTTGCCTTTATGCGCTTTTATGCTGTGAACCTATTCCACAAACCCTAAGCCCCAAACCCGAAACCCTACACCTTGATGGCTAAACCCCACACCCCGATGGCAAACCCAATCATAGACTCTATTCCCGTCTTAACTCTGCACCCCGGAGCCCTCAACCCAGATCCTAAACCCTAAACCCTTAACCCTAAACCCTAATCCCTGAACCCTAATTCTTAAACCCTAATTTTTTAAATCCTAATCCCTTAACCCTAAGCCCTAAACCCCTGAAGCCCCAAGCCATGATCGCCTAGTGCCCCGTGATGCGGGAATCCACGCAGGTGGAAGCTGCGGAAGACCTGGCCGCGATCACCATACCACGAAGCCGCAATCCCCCACTTTAATCAAAGGGGAGAAGGAGGGACCCTTAATAGGGACCCCTACCCTATAATGGGCCATATAATGGGTATATAATAGCTATACTATGGGTATACACCCAGCGGTCCTTATTAAGGGTCCCTCCTTTTACCCTTGGATTTAAAGTACCCAAACTTTTTTTGGTGTAGGGCCCTTAAGAATTCCACAGTAGGGTTCGTAACCCTAACCCTAAACCCTATGAATTCCTGAGTGAATTCCAGAGTAGGGATTGCAAAGGGAACGTGCAAAAGCATAGGTTGTGGAAGTCTAAGGAGCCCGTGCCCCTGTCATAACAGGCTGGGGGTTTAGGAATTAGAGCTTGAGAGTTTTGGGTTGATATAGGTGTTTTGGGTTCAGGGTGTAGGGGTTTACCGCCAGTTACTTATGTGACGGTTCCATTTGGGTTTTATGATGGCTATTTTTTATTGTAGGGTTTAGCTATAGGGTCCCCATTCCTACATCCCTAAAACCTAAGCCCTTATACGGTATAAGTTATACCCTAGACCCCTAAACCCCTAGACACCTAAACCCTAAACCCGATGCTTTGGCCTTAAAGGGCTTCCTTTGTCGGTACTTCGGAGTCAGATGTATACGATCTGGGTCCATGGACCAGTTTGGTTTGGGATTCATACGGTTGATGATATAATACCTGCAATGCACATAATAAGGACTACACCATAAATCCCATAGTTTAGGGTCCTTAAGGCACTGCAGGATTTATATCATCAGCAGTGGGGCTTATGATTTAGTTCGGGACACCCGGAGAGGACGGAGTCCCGAAACACCTCCAATGCCTAGCCTAGCGATCGACCTTGGTCACGAAGCTAGACCTGAACACAACCGACTGTAGGGCCCTTAATACTTAGAATAACGGTTAGGGGGTTGAGGGCTTAGGGGTTTCAGGGCAACTATGTTCTACTATAGTTATAATCAGGAGCCCGCAGACTCTATTCTAATTATTAAGTGCCCTCCGTTACAGTCCCTGAGGCTCCATGGACCTATATAGTACATACTTAAGCCTGAAAAGGTTTCCTATATAGGCACTTGGAGCTTTAGGGGGGAAACAAAAACTACCCTGAAGAGGCACTTGACACTTACCAGGAGTCTGCTTCCATTTGGATGCGGGATAAAGCCCCGATATGCCCCGATCCTGAACTCAACGCCCTCGACCCTCAAACTAACAGAATGAGGGTCTATCTACAAACCCTAAACCCTAAACCCTAAACCCTAAACCCTAAATCCTAAACCCTAAACCCTAAACCCTAAACCCTAAACCCTAAACTGCTTGGGCACATGGAGTACACGAAGGCAGTGATGCTGAACCCTGAAGTTTCCAGAAAAACTCCCCAACCCGACATCCTTGAAGTCTAAAACTAAGGGTTTAGGGTTCCTTTAAGGGTTTAGGGTTCCTTTAAGGGTTTAGGGTTCCTTTAAGGGTTTAGGATGCCCAGTAACCTAGGAATAAAAAGGGCTCCCTTTTTCGTATTGGGTAGCTTTATAAGGAGCCTAGGACTACAAGAAGGAAATGAGGGTAGTACTGGGCATCCTAGAAAACCCTGCATAATCATGATTGTGAAAAGCCGGTACTCAGGTCGTAAGGCTGCAATTCGGCAGCTTAGGTCCCGAAAACCTGTACGGTCAGACCTGAACCCGGCCCCTCCTGAACCCTAAACCTGCTACCTAAACCCTGAACTAGGTTCCTGAGTGACTCCGAATGTTCTCGTAATTCAACTCCTGAATTTTCATGCTGGATCCGAACGTGCGTAATGAAACGAGACTTCTCGTCCATTTCTTGAATGCGCACATTCGCTTTGTTCAAGATAGCTCAGCTGACTTGCGAAGTTCGGAGCGATCCAAGAACACTCCACCGTCCAATGTCGCACTTGCATCCGATCCGAAGAGAGCTTTATCCAGGATAGCTTCCATTCCCTTGCCACTACCACCTTTGCCAACAAGAAACAGTACCTTGGAGGTACATGTCTTGTGAAAGGCAGCCTTCATGAAGCAAAGTTTAATTTGAAAGGCATGCTCGTTGTCGAAATACACGGATTCGAGGAAGATGCGGAGAATGTTGTGGAGCTTATCAACGGATATGTCCGGGTACTGCCGCAAGGTATTCTCGTAATAGTATGGGTGCCGAATAACTGTTCTTTTAAACCTTGTACTTAGATTTGTATATTAATAACTATTCTAAAATACATGAAAATGCTTGTGCGAAAATACACGCCCCCAGGGCGTACCATACTGAAATAATAAGGGTACCCTTTTTCTGAGTATTGAGCTTTAATAAGGGGGCCCCAGTATAAAATATCAAAGGGCGCTACTCAGGAACCTAGTGAAACTTAAACCCTCAAACCCCCATACCCATACCCTGAAGAGCTGTCCTGGTGTGACGAATGCCACTCGTACTCCAAGAGGTCAGAGCCGCCCTCCAAGCCCAGATACTGCCGCCGAAAGAGGTTTAGAGTTTAGGGCATCTAGTTCATAGTTGGGATAGGATTAAAAATCTACACTTTTACTCCTTATGAGGTTTAATTAAGCCCATAAAAATGTAAAATGTTACCCAACTATGACAAAGGCATCCGTTTGAGGTGTTTAAATTCCTTTAAGGGTCCATGTACCCGAATAGTATATACGTTGGGCCCAATGTACCTTTTCGGAGTACTTTGAGGCCAATGTATATACTATTTGGGGTTTACGGGTTGGTATACCTCCTCCGGAGGAACATACAATACGGTTGATGATATAAATCCTGCATTAGCCATAATAAGGAATATACCATAATTCCCATAGTTTAGGGTCCTTAAGGTAATGCAGGATTTATATCACAACCCTAAACCCTAAAACCCTATCGATCCCTTAAAGGAGCCCCTTAAAGGTACCCTTATAGATCCCTTTAAAGGGAACCCCAGGATTTATATCATCAACCGTATGGATCCTCATGTCAATGCCTTTGAGAACCCATCCAAGAAGGCGGAGCAGCGTATAACTCAGTGCGGGTCTTTCTTGAGGCTTTGAGTTCAGTTTAGGGTTTAGGGTTTAGGGTTTAGGGTTTAGGATTTAGGGTTTAGGGTTTAGGGGTTTAGGGTTTGGAGTTTAAGCTTTGGGGACTCGGGGTTCGCGGGTTCGGGGAGTAGGGTCTGTATTCCTTCAGCTTTCGTGGGGGTTCTTGATCCCAAAACCCTAAACCCTAGGACCCCTGGTTTAAGAACCCCGAAACACCTGTCGAGCTTCGTCGAGAGGGTTTAACTAGGGGTCGATTTCAACAGCTCCGAAAATTGTCTAGAACTAGGGCTCTAATTAAATTATTAAACAACAAAGGACAAAAGCAAACTATGCCAGATCGACACCTAGTATTGGGTTGATGGTTACTACGTGCCGGAAACCCGGATCACCATGAACATCTAAACCCTCAAACCCTAAACCCTCAGCCCCAACCCTAAACCCCAAACCCTAAACCCCAAACCCTAAACCCTAAACCCAGGAGCCAAGACTTCAAGATGGAGGCCCAAGAGACTAACAGCCTCTGAGGAAAGCTGAGGTGCATTCCCTGAAGAAAAAAATGAACCCTAAAAGGGTTTAGGATTCTTTTTGGGGTTCCTTTCAAGGGGTCCTATAGGGTTATTATGGGTTTTTGTAGGTTTCAGGATTTGAGGACGAAATGAACCCTAAAAGGGTTTAAGGTTCATGTACCATAATATGGGAACTCATCGTACGAGGGTATAGGGCCCCTAGTTTTTAAAGGTCACTTGGTCCGTACATTATACATGGTTTACACAAATAGCCTTCGACCGGAACCACTGAAGCCCAGCAAGCGCCGACAAACAAGCAAAATAGGGTTTAGGGTTTAGGGCAAAAGCACACCCGAAACTTTGAACGCAGACCACCAGGTCGTTCAATGACGATTCGGACACAAGGCATTACACGCTGTCTGGGCTGAGCAAAGTAAAGATGGCGGCCAGAAGTCGAAGTGGTGTTTTAGTTGACAAAACGCTCCTGAACAAACGAACTAGGGACCGAAAAATACATTCGAATGGGGCGATAAGGCGACCGTACTACCAGCTATATTCCTCGAACCTCCAAGCCAACTTTTAGACCCAAATCCTAAACCCTAAACCCTAAACGTCGGTCCAGGTAGGTGCTTCCCGGATTGGTCAGCGCCACGCCCTGTAGGTTCAGACCTTGACGAAGGCTACGAAGCCCACACAGTTAAGGGCTTCGGGTATAGGGCCTTCCCTTAAGGACGAGAAGAACCCCAAAAGGGCTTAGGGTTTAGGAAACCCTAAACCCTAAACCCTATACCTTATAGGGATTCATAATATATTTGTATAGGGGCCCCGTACTTTTAAGGGTCATTTGGGGTCCTTAAGGTCGGCAATCACAACCCCAAGGTCCAACATACAAGCTACGGTTGATAATATAAATCCTGCATTACCTTAAGGATCCTAAAATATGAATTATTGTATATTCCTTACTATGGGTATTGCAGGATTTATATCATCAACCGTAGGGATCGTTCGCACGCAACAGGGTTTGCTCATTGTGGTCACTGGCAGCTTAAACTAAACTCCTTAACAAGACGCCCTACAGAACCTGCTGGGGAGGGACCCTGGCAGTTGGTAAGCTAGGATAAGAAACAGGGCAAAGCAGCAAATGTCCTACTTCAATTACACAGAGATCAAAACAAAAATGCAAATTCACTTAACTCGGCCTATGCGCTATTTAGGGTTTGTGAATATGCTTTCCTTCTGGCTATCCTTCAGGTCAGTAGTGGTCTGGGCTGGGTCTGTATTCTCACCCCAGAAAGGCCTCAGGCCAGGGCAAGGACCACTGGTTCCGACCTACTGACCTCAATACGTTCGATCTTTTATGGTTCAGGGTTTAGGGCTTAGTTAAGCCTGGGCCTAAAGCGTAAACTCCGGTTCCACCCCGAGGATCCTTCCTCCTCTAACCCTGGACCCTCTTCACTGAAGTCGAGCCCTACGTGCTCTCATTTCAAAGCCCTTCACAAAACCCTACAGTTTAGGGTTTTGGGGTTTGGGGTCCAGGGCTAAAGATTTTAGAGTCCAAAATATAACACCCTTGTGAAAACCGTTGTGTCTCGATTCCTGAATAACCCTAAACCCATCTTGTTGTCTGACTTAGGGCCCCCAAAAGCATAAAGCAAAAACAAGAATAGGGATATCCCGGATAAACACAATGAAGCCCAACAACGTACGGATGTCCCTATAAAATGCTTCTGCTGATCCTTATGTCCTTTGTCCCTAATACCTCCCCAGGTCCCTAATACCTCCCCAGGGAGTCGAGCCGTGAAGAGGTTCCTCGTACTTCTGCTGCAGAAAATCGTCCTGACCATTGCAACAGCCAAGAATATGTCTAGCAGGTTCATTCAAGATTGTACAGTTTAAGCGAAGGGAGGCGAAATGGGAGTGTCCGAAAAAAGGGGACCCTAATCTAGTACCCTAAATAGTAGGACGCTGAAAACAAGGACCCAAAAATAAGGTACCCCTCATTTTCGGAAACTTCCAAATGTTATCCGACACTTTAGGAGGACTCGCCGACATTGTCTCTGGGATCCCACTGAAGTCATTGTTGTTCGCGCAGCTTGGAGTGGGTTTAGATTTTAGACCCTTTAAGGAAGCTGATGACGATGAAGGGAATGCAGTAATGCTGATTGCGATGATGATGATGTCTATGGGGATGAGCTTGATGACGATAATGGCGACTCTGTTGTTGATGCTGGCAACTGAAACCTTAATGACTTAATGATCTGGTTTATAGTTGGGATAGGATTAAACATGTACAGAGTTGTTCCTTAGTGGGTTTAAGCACCCATAAACATGCAAAATGTTACCCAACTATGACAAAGTGATGATGGATGATATACAGGTGATGAGTCCCTCGCCGACCAACATTATCACCGCGATCATCCGCAACAGGCAACACCAGCTGGACCGTAGACAATATACATCTGCCAGTCCGTCACCACGGTGTAGTCCGCGAGATCCACAAACAGAAGGAGGCCTGGGCCATGGACTGGCATGGGTTGCAGACATGTTTTGTTTTTTTGTTTTCGGAAGGCGTGGGGAGGGGGGTTTTCGGGACCACTGTGTCTTGCCAACATGAACCAAACTCTTAATCATGATCAGGATGGCTACCGATATTCGCACTAGAAAGATCAAACTCATAAGCCAATTTGAATACCGAACCAACACGCAAAATGAAGATAACGCAACAAACCGGCGAATCATGACATACGTGTATGTATATGTATACACATATGAGCAGGGGTATATATATATATATATACATGTCAGTATATACATATATAAAAATATAAATGCGTGCACATATATATATATATATATATATATATACACATCTGCTTGGTTGTGTTTAATACTACGGGTTTATTATCTGTTGTATGATATATAGATACAAATACATAAATACATAGGCTCTAATCCCAGTCTCTCTAAGCCCATGAGCACTACATCATATAGCCCTTCCTGACCCTAAAGCGCCACATTTTCTGCCGCAGTCGTGGAGACAGCGGGCGGCAGCGGGTCCAAGCCGGCAATTTCAGCCTGCCAGTTTGTTGCTATCAAGCTCAGGGGGTTTTCTAGTTCGGAGGATTTTAATGAGTTGTTTCGGGGTCTGATCAGATTTCCTATGAAGCTTGGCTGGCCTATTTGAGAGCTTTATCAGGATCTTAGGACTCAGAGACTTCCAGAATCCCTAATCTGATTTACGGCGTTTGCTTCATGGGGGCCTCTTTGGGCTTATGCAGGTGTTGAGGCTTTTCCGTTCGGGGGTTCAAGGCCTTCGGGTTCGATTCAAGGGGCTACGGCGACGGAACACCCCAGACCCCCGGGAGGACCTAGAAAGCATCAAGGCTTTAAGGGATCTACCTTTTGGATCCTCCCCGGGGTCTGGGACACGGGAACTCTTGCTGTAAGCCCCGGAACCTTCATGTGCACTCAGTCAGGGCCTTTTCTAAAGTTCCAGTAGAACTGCAACTCCTGGTACTGCTGCCGCTGCTTGTACTACGACCGCGATGACGACGACTAACAAGGACAGTAGCAATTGTGTGGAATAGCGATAGCAAAAGCAATAACAATAGTAATTCAAAGGTGACCTCGACAATGACGACAAAACACAAGGAAGCAACGACAATGCTTGACTTGCTATAAAGTGCCTTGACATGGTAGGCCTCGCCACAGCCTATAAGGCTCTAGCGCGGCCTCACTTAGAGGGTCATGGACTTAGTGAGTAGGTTATAATTGGATTTATAAGTGTCCTATGTGGGGTTGTCCTAATTATAACATACTTATAAACTTACTAAAGACTAAGTCCCATGAGGCTTGCAATCCTAATGCTACGAAACAGCGGCAAAAAAAACACCAACAAGGCCTTCGGGATAGAGGCCGTCCAACGTCCAGGTAGAGGACCCTGCACCCTAAAATCTAGAGAAGGGTTACCTACTTGTCGGGTGTCATGGGGAACTAAAGGATAACCTTTTTGGTTATATAGGGATTATATAGGGACTATACTACTACCCAAAAAAGGTGAAAGGTTACCTACTCTACTGCTAGGACACCCTAAAATCTAGAGAGGGGTTAAATAGTAGTCCGGAAAAGTAAAGCACAGAGGTTCCCACAGCGTCCCCCTCCCAAACCCTTCACCCCTAAACCTAAAACCCGATTAGCATTACCTTCTTCAGGACATCATAACAAGGAGCCCCTCAACGGCAGGCACCCTAAACTCTAAGCCCTAAATCCCAAACTCGGTTGGCGTTTAGCCTGCCTAAGCTCGCCCCGAGCCCATTGGAGCTTCTCTGCCGATTTCCTTAGAAGGGAACTTAGGGGTTGAGCAGCCTAGCCCAAAAAAGGTTAACCTTTCGATTTAGAGTAGAACCATGGTAAGAATGTATATATGTATGTGTATATATATATATGATATATGTGTGTATATATATATATATGTATATTTTTTTTTTATTTTTTTTCTTTTGTTTAGCCCCAAAAGGTGAAAGGTCACCTGCTAAACCCCTTAGTCCCAAGGGAACTCGGCCCCCATTGGCTTGGGGTTTAGGCCGTTCAGGATCTACGTCCCCTTCACTCGAAACCCCTACGACCTTGACTTTAGGGTTTAAGGGCTTTTGGTGAAGGAACCCCAGGCCCTAAACCCGAAGGGTCAGTTTAGGGTGTAAACGGTCCAGGGAAAGCCGTATCAGTTGGGGTCCTGGTAGAAAGAGCGAGGAAACTGCGCCACTCCTTCCGCTACCTTTAAGAGTTCCTGGCAGGCTAGGGCTAGGTGTCACAAAAAAGCACCCGTAAACCACATGTAAGATGCTTCCAAACCCTCATCCCCAAGCTGGCATAAAACACCAAATATTGCAAACATATGTGACTCTTCGCCACAGTTGTGCAGGCTAGCATCAAATTTCCCAACCAAGTTTCACGATCAGAGAGGATGACAAACACCGTGACGCGAGTTGCCACAAAAGAACCTTCTTCTTTCAGTTGCTGAGGGATTCCGAACGAAAAGCCCTGGATGAACGAATCTTAGAGTCTTTGCACGTGATTGGAAATCAACTGCTTCTGGGTTGTTGAAAAGGCAGCTCTGGATCCAGATGTGGGGGGGTCCAGGGTCTACTGTCTAGGATGTAGGGACACCATCCAGCATTTAGGGTTAAGGGCTTATAAGATCCAGATGGATGGGTTCCAGCAAGTCGGAGACCCCTGATAGGGAAGCTGAAGAGGGTACAGCAGCCGCTGCTACCGGAGACCACAAATTGCTGGACACCCCAGACTTTGATTTTGTCAGACCAATTCTCTGAAACGCTCCCTCTTGCAGAACATGCAGCTGGGTGTCTCCAAATCTTGAGGGAGCGATGATGAACATGAGCGGTTGCGTCCTAAATGTCAGCAAAGAGCATGTGCACTCTGAAGCTGCAAAAAATGAGATTGACTTGACCTCATGTCCAGTAGTAAGGCAGCAGCAAAGCTGATTAAGCAGGAATCCAGAATCCAGCCTCTCAGTAGCAGTGCAGTCAAGATAGCCGGGTGAACATCTCAGAAAGAGTGGGCTAGGCGAACAGCGCAAAGGGTTGTGAGTCCTAAGTACCTGTATAGTAGCAAGTAGGGTTTCTATAGTAGGGATTACGAGATATAGCGGTGCTTAGGACTCTTCGGGTAGGGCAAGTGAACGAAATATTGCTTCGCTGGGGATTCAGGGTGGGTTTAGGGTTTAGGCGTTTGGGGTTTAGGCCCCTCTTAACCCAGAGTCAACAGAGCATGGGTTCTGAGGCACAGCTCTATAGTGTTGCGTAATGCGACTCGAGGTATCAGTCGGGCTGACGGCAACAGCAGCAGAAGAAGGATTATGCACCACTTCCCTAGGTTGGCCATTTAAAGCCTCTGAAAAATGTTCGTAAATAGGGTCCTATTAAGCCCAATATGATGGTAGTGGTCATCACTGCTCGGTCTTCTTACTTTGCTATTTTCTCGCATACTTTGGGTACGGCCCCCAAACAGTAACAGTCTATAATAGGGCTACTTTTAAGGTCCTTATATTATCCTTATATGTATATGTATATATGTATATTATATATATATATATATATATATATGCTCACGCCCCCCCCCATGATCCACCCGAAGCTGCTTCTTGCAAACAGTGGATCATGGGAGGTGGGCAACCTCGGATTCGAAAACACCGCCAGGCACCAATTTCCCCAAAGTTTGCAAAGCTGGAAGTGCGAAACCATCGACAGGCACCAATTTCCCCAAAAATACCAAACTCTGAGCAACTATGGCCCGGCACGCCTCATAGATGCCGGGATTTTGCGGATTTCGGTGGAATTGGTGCCTGGCGAGGTTTTGGCACTTCCAGCTTCACAAAGTTTGGGGAAATTGGTGCCTGGCGGTGTTTTGGCAACCTCGGATGCGAAAACACCGCCAGGCACCAATTTCCCCAAAGTTTGCAAAGCTGGAAGTGCGAAAACATCGACAGGCACCAATTTCCCCAAAAATCCTAAACTCTGAGCAACTATGGCCCGGCACGCCTCATAGATGCCGGGGTTTTTGGGATTTTGGGGAAATTGGTGCCTGGCGAGGTTTTGGCACTTCCAGCCTCACAAAGTTTGGGGAAATTGGTGCCTGGCGGTGTCTTGGCAACTTCGGATGCGAAAACACCGCCAGGCACCAATTTCCCCAAAGTTTGCAAAGCTGGAAGTGCGAAAACATCGACAGGCACCAATTTCCCCAAAAATCCTAAACTCTGAGCAACTATGGCCCGGCACGCCTCATAGATGCCGGGATTTTGGTGATTTTGGGGAAATTGGTGCCTGGCGAGGTTTTGGCCCGTCCAGCTTCACAAAGTTTGGGGAAATTGGTGCATGGCGGTGTCTTGGCAACCTCGGATGCGAAAACACCGCCAGGCACCAATTTCCCCAAAATTCATACAGCTGAACTCTGACGGCCTCCATAGATGCCAGGATTTTGGAGATTTTAGGGAAATTGGAGCATGGCGAGGTTTTGGCATTTCAGCCTCTGCAAACTTTGGGGGAAATTCGAGCCTAGCGATGTTTTGGCAACTTCGGATGCGAAAACATCGCCAGGCTCGAATTTCGCAAGATTCCTGAAGCTTGAAATGCAAAAGTAATAATAGAAGAACAGCCGTACCACGTACTCATACATGAGCCTTCGATTGCTTCAGTTCCCAACTGTGCTCTTGCTTCTTTCATTGAACAAAGTCATAGCTGGTGTTATAGGATCACCTTTGCTTAAAAAAAATGGAAAACAGCTGTACTTTACAATATTGAAACCTTCCCGTGTTTGTGGATGGTTTAGAACGTTGGATGCGAATGCACATGTTCGTTGAACTGTACATCATGTTTAGATACTGTCGAGTTCTTGTTTCTGCATCGAGGTAAGATATTGCTAACCGTTTAAACTCTTGCCTGTTGCTTGAACAAGAAGAAGCGTTGCTTGTATTTTATATTACCTCACAAACTAAAGAAGCTGACAAGCTCCGATATTTCATGTCGTTACCTGTAAAGTTAGTTCCCCAATAGTGCGGTCTTGCCTTATTACTTTTGGGGTTCCCTTATACAAAAAGAGTACCAGGACAATTCAGGCGACACTGGGGAACCTGGTAAATGAGCTTTCAACTGCTTCGATTACTGGCGGTACCAACTCTTCTCTCGTGGAGCAAAATCATAATCGAGTCAAGGTCAGCCTTGCTCACGAGGTAAGTGAAGTGTTTTATTGTTTTCCTCAAAGCAGACTTAATGAGAAAAGATGTGTTTGCACCATTCTCGGAGGCCACGAGGAGAGGTCTGGAGCCTTTTCATGCGAGCTATATCACTTGTGCGAGTAGCGCGGTGTAACGGAGCTCGATTACGTGTATGTTCTGAGCCAGGGTCGTCTTGCATCTTTTAATACGAAAACAGCAAGCAAGCGTGTTGAGAAGAACAGCGAATGCTTTCCAGATACATGCTTGTCTTGATTGCCACGAAATATAAAGCGTAAGAAGCTCGACATACTCTACTTATTTTTGACCGAATGTATTTGGAGTTTGGTGGAGGGAGACCGTTTTTTCCTAATTCCCACGAAGTATAATGCGTAAGAAGCTCGACATACTCTGCTTGTGACTGCATGTATTTGGATTTTGGTGAAGGGAGACCATTTCTTTCCCTAGTATTGGGAAATTGTAAGAGCTCGTTGAGTTCCAGCCACTTTTTTACTCCAGCGACTCACAAGGGGCTAAGGTGGTTTATTGTGTTTTTGTGATGAAAAAAGGTTCCTAATGAAAGAAAACAACACCACCTGAGAAAGCACGACTGAGAGATATGAAGTTGTCCTAGGTTCCCTTGAAGCATGAAGATGCATGGAGGTTCCTTTCCATGTCTTATAAAGGGCCAGGCTTTGTTTTTTATGGATAGATGGGCAACATCTCTGTTTAGTGGTGTTGCTAGTAAGCCAAACATGCCACTGGCATGTTTGTTTTCACTGAAGGAGTTGTCCTACCCTCTATGGTATAAAGAGAAGAGAAGCTATGTCTTTTCAAACTGCACATCTTAAGTAGTTCGACAAACTCAGAATCCAGAATCCGAATTCGGTTTCGGTTTCGGCTTGTTTACCTGTGATATCAAGGAATAAAAAGTCAGGTAGACATGTACATGCGGCAACAGAACCAGAATCCAGAACCAGAATCTGGTTTCGTTTTTGGCTTGTTTGTATATGAGATAAAAGGCAAAAAGCTGCATCTGTACATGCACATGAACTGCAGAAACCTTCGTAAATACCGATAGGTTCTAACTTTAACAATACGCATCTTGTACCAGAAGACAGTACAGGAGTAGTTGAGGAAAAGGCTGGGGTGGATCATGGGGGGGGGGGGTGACCATATATATATATATATATATATATATATATATATTATGAATATAATCCAATTGTTACTGAGTGGGGGGCAGTACCCAACGCATACTCAGCGTTGCTATTGAGTGGCGATACTGCTAGTACTATTTAACCTCCCAGCCACAAAGGAAAGACCTGCTGCATGTCCAGAACTTGGCGACCAGCGAACCAAAGCCCACCCCACCCCGTGAGCCCTGAAATCTAGACACGAAAACCCTGGCTTCAAACCCTTTACTTGCACTTGCTACACCCCATGACAACCTGACAAGGAACTATAGAACACACACACACACACACTGACACACACACACACACACACAGAGACAGACAGGTACCATTTAACGCCCTGCACAACCTAGAGCCCGAACCCTAAACCACTTGAACAGCCAAGTCCCAAACTCTCATACGTAATTTCAACCAGGCAGCCTTAACAAACCCCTTTCTGGCCTTAGGAGTCCTGTGTAGAGTCGAACCTCCGGCTTCGTAGCCCTACCGGCGTCCCTGAGAGTCGTACAGCGAACCCCCAGAAAATTGGAACATGGATTTAGGATGCTAAGTGGATGGATTTAGGATGATAGGTGCTGGGATTCCCTATACTTTATCTTTCCAACTTTTTGTCTTCTGCCCTTTTAAACCCTAAACCAAAGCCCCTAAACCCTATGAAACCCCTGACTCGTTGTGCCCAGAGGCTGCTGCTGCCGACCTTGAACGCCTCGGATCGGCAGCAAAAATGATGGGTTCCTCTAAGGAAGTTAGGGGTTAGGGTTTAGGGTGTCGATGATAAGGTCCCACTTAAAGGCTGTAAGATTCTGAAATGGGGTCCCCCGTATGGGATTCCTTTAAGGGCTCGTTCTATGGGGTGGGCTCGAGTTTAAAGTGATTCGGGGCTTTATTGAATGAAGAGACTTCGGATTGCCTGGGCAGGGACATTTTGCCAGCAGGCTCGGAGCTCATGGGCTAAGGCTAAGCGTCTTGTGATATATCCCATACAGGGAACTCCAGGAAGTTGGAATATCAGGGTAGGATACCCTATAATTTACCATAAAGGGTTTTAATCATATTCCAACTTTCTGGCTTTTACCTTAATTGCTCCGAGTATACGAACACGTAGTACCTTCGTTGGGCCCACAAGTCTGTCAAAAGGACCTCCGTTGGTCCTTTGGGACCCAGGGCATCAGAACTGCGGGACAGGATTCCGGATGTTGGCCTGGCGAGGGCCAGCTCGAGCACCCCAACACGCAACTCCTAAAACTTGCTCTTCTACTTAGGGGCTGAGTACCCTAGCCCAAAAAAGGTTAACCTATTGAATTACGTATAGTATAAGACCCAAAGGGTTAAAGGTTACCTACTCAGCCCCTATAGGTTAAGGTCTCAGGGTTTGCCCTGCCACATGCAGTTCGCTTGCAAACAAGGTGGTATGGACCTCTCCAAACACGGGGATATCATTTCCCATCGGGTGTTCTCAGAGTGCCGTGACGTGGGGCTTGAAGTAGGGGCCCAGAAAAGGACCTAAACAACAAGCATTAGTTTGGGATATTCCAGAAACCCCTCTTTGATAAAGCCAACAAGATAGGGACATCCCACCCGAAAGTTTATGTTTGGGTGCTTCTTTGGCTGCTGATGAAGACCTAGACCCTACACCCCTAGCCTGGACCCTGCAACCGACCCTGCACCGACAAGAGGCTGCCTTTCATTGGCTCTGAAGTCGGTTTCTTTCTCAACCCGGACACCCCTTAACGAGTTCCCGGGTTTAGGCTTCCTTTAAGACTTCCTTTTAAAGGGGTCCATAAGGATTACTATAAGGGGTATTATGGGGGTTAGTATGCAGAAGTTACTACAAGGGGCTTTAGAAGGCCTCCGGGCGCTTGGGGCTTAGCATGCTGAGCCACTTGAAGGCTCATGGGACTTAGTAAGTAAGGTTGTAAGTAGCTTACAATTAGGATAGCCCCACTTAGGGGACTTATAACCCCAATTGTAACCTAAGTCCCATGATCCTGTAAGCAGGGCTTATTCCAAGGCTTAAGGCTTTAGGGTTTGGCATGTTTAAGCCCTTACGTGATTAAGTTTTTCCGTGTTCAGCTTCAGGGTTTAGGCCTGATGGCAGCAACGAGCCAGAACTGAACCCGACAAAACCCGAAACCGGTGGGGATCAAGGACACTCTATACCTGCAGCACCCTGAAGCCTATAAACCCTAGGCTTAGAATGGCTTAGAAGTAACCAAGAGGATCGGGCCCAAACAAGTATTAAAGCATGGTACTCCAAATACCAGCGCTGGTTACTCGTTAAAGAACTCAGCTTAATTTAAAAAACGATGTAATATGTATATTGCCAAAAAACGCTTGCCTTGTCGAAGTTAGCTGACTTCTTCATTTACCTTTGGTTAGTAGGGAATGGAAGGAATGGTAGCAATAGTAGTTATACTTGTACCCCACTCCTCCTTTTCCCGCTGACCAAAGATAAGTTCATTGAGAACCTGGGCTCGCCCGAGGCCACGGCCAGGCGGTAGCGATGCAACCAATTCCGACTGCAAAGAGTAGAGTCCTCCGGCAGATTCGAATTTTAAGGGCTCTAAGGACCCTACACAAGCAGCCCTAAAAGTTCTAATACAAAGGACCCTTTATCATGATGTAGGGTTCTTAATAATTAGAATAGTGTCTTGGGGTATATTATACTTTTGCTATAATAAGCAACCCCCAACATAGTATAGGCAATTGCGAAGGCCCCTATAGTAACTACCGTTATCGCACCTTGTAATCTGCGGGCAGACACAAGATTGCGGGCCACGTGCCATGCAGATATTTTTGGGTTTAAGCATCGGTTTGGTCTTGTCGTTTTAGCATGGTTTATAGCAGGGTAAGGTTCATGGGACTTAGTATGGGTTCTTAGAGGGCTCTTTAATATAGGATTCCTTAAAGGGATCTATGAGGTTAGGGCTTAGGGGATCGTTGGATCATGTGGGACGTAAGCCCGAAATCCTAAAATCTCCAGCAATGTAAGACTTGGACCTTGGTTTAGGGTTCAGGGTTTAGGGTTTAAGGGTTTGGGTTTAGGGATTTAGGGTTTAGGGTACCACCGAAACTCTCAACAGTCCGCTTACAAGTTTACATGGGGTTTCGGGTTGTGTAAAGGATTTAAGGGTTTAGGGTCTGCCAATGCCACGGCCCTCGACCGGCAAAGCCCTAAATAGAGAATCGTGGGACTTGGTAGGTAGGTTCTAACTGGGGTTATCCCTAAGTGGGGGTATCTTAATTATATCCTGCTTATAACCTTACTTATTGAGTCCCATGAGCCTTGAAGTAGACCCTAAATCCTAAACCATTAAAGGGAACCCTGTTATAGAATCCTGTAGTACCCTGATAAGGAATCCTAAACCTTACTTACTAAGTCCCATGAGCCTTTAAGTAAGTCCGGCAGCCCCAAACCCAAAACATTGAGGGCAGCTTCTACGGATCATGCTCTACTTTGAATAAAAAATAGTCGTTGGGTACGGCCCGCACTCAGTAATAGTTGGTTTCTGGTCATAATATAATATAGATATATTAGGACCTTGATAGTAGCCCTATTATGGACTCTTACCGTATGGGGGCAGTACCTAAAATACTCGAATAGTTCACCAAGATTGGAGTCTTTGGGCAAGCCGCAACCCTACTCCGCACGCTTCTCCCTGAACACAATAAACCTTACACTCTGCTCCTCTGACATGGTCCACACACTTCCGTAGAGGCTGTCCTGAGCCATGCCCCACAAGGGAACAATGCCGGCCATAGCCCTAAAGCCTAAACCCTGAAGCATACTATAAATCTACAAGATGCGGACAGAGACTGCAAGCAGAAAGATCTTCGTTCTGTGGGCCACGGGCGCCGGGTTAAAGGAAAGCCGCACTAAACTCCCTGCAGAAAACCATAACTCTTCTGACAACAATCTGTGCAAAACAGTTCCATAAACCCTAATGATCCCTTGCAGCCTCGCTTCGAAACCCTGAAGCTCTACTTCGCGAAAACTGTATTGATACGATGAAGCGACCAGAATCTCGAACCGTGTATGCAGCATGGCAATAGGGTTTAGCGGGATTGATCTAGGAGGTACCTTAGGGGCTTAGTACCCTAGCCCACAATAGCTTAACCTTTCGAATTATGGTAGCATTCTGCAAGCCCCACAAGGTTAAAGGTTACCTGCTCAGTCCCTAAGGTACTGCAGGAGGTACTTGAAGGCTCATGGGACTTAGTAGGTCAGGCTACAAGTAGGTCATAATTAGGGTAACCCCACTTAGGGGACTTATAACCCCAATTATAAGCTACTTACTAAGTCTCATGATCCTCTAAGTACTGTTTCGGTAAGGGGCCTCGGATGTGAGGTTCAAGGCGTAAGATGGAAGATCGAGGGAAGACTCCAACTTCCTACTTAAAGGATCATGGGACTTAGTAAGTAGGTTATAATTGAGGTTATAAGTCCCCTAAGTGGGGTTATCCTAAATAGAACCTACTTATAACCTTACTTACTAAGTCCCATGAGCCTTTAAGTAAGTTCCTGAGTAGCCCCTTTATAATCAGGGTACCCTGTTTCCTAATATCCAGTTTCGATAAGGAGACCCCAAACAAAAAAGAACAAAAGGGCACTACTCAGGAACCTAAGAAAAATCTTCTCAAAGTACATTATGCCGCCATGAGTGCTGCCCTAGTTTAGGGCTTAAGGGCTTTAGTGTTTACATAGGGAGTTTAAGGTTTTCGGTTTGGGGTCCGAAAGCAAAGGTCCGTGGAGTTTCTGCCTGACTCTGGAACCCCAGCAAAGTCTCGACATGTAGACTCCTTGGAGTTTCCGAAAATTGGGGGTATTTTGGTTTGGGGTCCTTATAACCAGGATCCTACTATTTAGGGTACTATATAAGGGTCCCCTGTTTTCGGAAACTCCCACATGATTTCTTTCCTGATTGACAAACCTTTCTCTGATGCCTAGCCTTGTAATGCTTCTTAACCCCACGCCCTAAACCCTAATACACCCTCAACCCTACACCTCAATAAACCTACATTGAGCCCTTGGTCCAAAAGGCTTAGGGCTTAAGCCCAGGAAACGTAGTTAGGAAGAATACATGAACCCTAACTGGGACAACAAGTACTTGTAGCTACAGAAACCATACTCGCAAGTCTAGGTACTAAGTCCCATGAGCCTACAAGTAAGATCTATGCACCACATCCCCGAAAATGCACAATCAACCAGGGGTTCAGGGCTTCGCTCAGGTTTGAGGGCTCAGGGTTCAGGGTTTAGCGTTCAAGCTTTAGGGTTCAGGGTTTGGGGTCGCATGCAATATGCAGGATTTGCTGCAAGCTTCATGTATACGGACTTACAATGCGGCGTCAATCACCTGCCTCTTTTCACCCTACAGACTGTAGACCCTAAGCCCCAAACCTTCAACGGCTCAACCCTAAGCTTCAGCTATCAGAGGCTTCGTCTTATGGTTTAAACTATTTAAGCTATATTTCTGGATTAAGGGGTGTAGCAAGGGGTCTTGGTCTCTCTGGGTTTTGAGCTATATTCCTGAATTAAGAGGTGTAGCAATGGGTCTGGGTTTGTGCCTCAACTGCGCAAAGGCGCGTGGACGACGGGGTGGCCAACATGTGCGAAGTGCCTGCGGATCTGGTGCTGCCGCCCCGTCATGATCCTGCGAAGGTTCAGGCTTTAGGCCTAGAGACTCCAATATCCCTTAATTAAGGAATATACCTTAGATCATATTAGGGATCCTACTATAATTTAGGGAATATTCTTTAATTAAGGGATATTGGAGTCTCTGGGGGGGGTTTGGGTTTGGGGTTTTGGGGTTGGGTTTGGGTTTTAGGGTTTAGGGTCTAGGGATTACTGAAAGGCCCATGGAACTTAGTGAGTGAAGTTATAAGTAGGTTATATTTAGGATAAACCCCACTTAGGGGACTTGTAGGCTATAACCTACTTACTAAGTCCCATGATTTTTGAAGTCACCTGACCACCACCTGATAATAGAACCCTTATGGATCCCTTAATGGGGCCCTTTAAGGAGCCCTAGCTATATCCTACATCCTAAACCCCAAGCTCTAGAGTTCAGGTTCTGGGGGAGGAAAGGCGGAGCAAGGAGCTCCGTAGACCCCAAGCATGGGCCCTAGCCTTTGACAGTCCGTTCATGTGGCTGGGGTTTAAGCTTAGGGGTTAGGGTTTAGGGTTTAGGGGTTTTAGGGTTTAGGGTTTAGGGCCGTTTAGGGTTGAAGGTTTAAGGACGAGGGATCTAAAATGTCTGCGACTCGGGGTTGGAATTTGAGAGGTGGGAGTTGGAACTTGGCCTTGGGCGGGGCTTGAAGTCATCTGACTGGCTTTCTGCAACTTCAGCCTGCAATCATATGGGCATTTCCGAAAATTAGGGGTGCCTTGTTTTGGGGTCAGTATAGTGAGGATCCTACTAATTTAAGTAATTTAGGGTACTATACTAGAGTTACTAGAGTCCCCTGTTTTCGGAGAACTCATATCTGGATACCAGCCGTTGTACAGGCATATAGCATTGCCCAGACATCGCGCGATGCGATGCTGAGGATCTAATGAGTGCCGAAGGAAAGATCCTACACCTAAACCCGAAACGACAGATACCTCTTGTAGAAACTGCCCGCATACAGACAGAAGCATTCTACAACAATTAGGACTCTTACTAAGCGTTGTATATCTATGAACATTATTCAGCCGTGAATGAGTGGGAGCAGTATCCAAAATATCTGAATGTGATTCAGACATGTGCTCAGCTGCATTTGCCCTGAGGGCTCTGCTGGGAAGGTCCTAGCAAGACATGCCATTTCTGAGGTCTCTGGCAAAATGGCCAGACCAAGATTGCTGATGAGGACCCCCGATTTCTTGACCTTGTCATTGAAGAGCTCCATTTGCCTCTGGGTTTGCGGGGCTGCACCAGAATCCTTCATCACGGCAAATGTCCTCTTCTGCACAGCTGCTGCTGCCGCTGCTGCTGCTAGCTCTTTGCCAAACCCTAAACCGAATGAATGCTAGAGCCTGAAATCCCGAACTCGAAAATGTAAACTTAGAACAAAACACTTCTGCCAGCCAAGCTTGTACTACAGAGGCCTTGATCATTATAATAAGGGTTTTTGGTTATCAATATGGTTTAAGAACCCTTGCTTGCACACACGCAGATCGTAGCCCTAAGCGTGCTCTCTGAAACTATGTGGATAATTACTAAACCAGCCAGCAGAAACCAAACACAACCTTTCTGAACTATAATGCAAACACAATGTCGACCTCCAAGCTAAGAACCGTAATCCGAACCCTGAAACGCCCAAAGACCTAAAGCCCTAAAGGGTTTAGGGTTTAGGGCTAAACCCTCTAGAACCCTAAACCAAACCCTGGAATCCTTGATGATTAATAGAACCTTGATGGATCCCTTAAAGGAACCCTTATAGATTCCTTAAAAGGAAGCCTTAAAGTAACGCTACTATACCCTGAAGCCTAAACCCTAAACCCTTAGACCCTAAACTCTAGCAACCACGAAGCCTCTGAAACCTCTGAATCAACTGGTCCGTACGTAGCTCCCTTAAAGGAACCCCTGTAGATCCCTTAAAGGAACCCCTATAGATCCCTTAAAGGAACCCTTGTAGATCCCTTAAAGAACCCTTTAAAGGATCCCTTGAAAACCGTGTCCGTACGGCAGCGAACGTGAACGCCTGAAAGTCGCGCCTGGGCCGGGCTTCGGTAGGATTCGGATTTAGGCTTTAGAATGCAGGTTTTTGAAGGGTTAGGGTTTTGGGTTTAGGGCAGTTTAGGGATCAGGTTTAAGGTTCAGGGGTTTTGGGGTTTAAGGGTTTAGGGTTGTGTAGGTGTAGGACTTAAGGAGAAAAGGCTGCGGGATCGGATAGGGCCAAGGAAGGGTTCAAAAAGGTCACAGGACAGCAACAGGCTTCTACCGGGTGTTAGAGAGTGTGATTCAGGTCTGTAGGTTGCAGAAGGGTGTCACGTTTTGAAGAGCTGTGCAAGGGCTTCGTGAGTTTTTTGAAGAGTTTGAAGGGCCTCTTGTAGAACTTTTATGGAACCGTTACGGAACCGATATGGAGCCCGTAAAGAACACTCTTATCCAACCCTAAAGCCTAAGACACCCTAAACCCTAAAAGCCCCAAAGCCTAAGAAACCTTAGACTTAGACCCTAAAAAAACCTTAAAGCCCAAAGAACCCTAAACCCTAAAAGCACCATAAAGCCTAAGAAACCTCCAAAAAAACACCCTAAAGCCCTAACAAACCTAAACCCTAAACAAACCCTAAAGCCTAAGAAACCTTCAACACTAAAAAACCTGAAAGCCTAAAACAACCCTAAAGCCCAAAATACCCAAAACACTAAAAACACCCTAAACCTTAAACTAAAACTAAACCCTGAGGTGACCCTCAAGCCCAAAAAGCCCTAAACCCTAAAACAACCTATAAAGCCTAAAAACCTTGCACTTGGTTCCAAAGAGCGGAGCTTACCTTAATTACAGAATATTCCTTAAATCATATCAGGGATCCTAGTATAAAGTATATTCCTTTCTTAAGGGATATTGGAGTCTCTGGGAACCCTCCGCTGTGCCCCCCCCCAAAAAAAATTTAAAGCCTAAGAAACCTCAAACCCTAAAACCCCTTAAACCCAGAGACTCCAATATCCCTTAATCAAGGAATATACCTTAAATTAGAGTAGGATCCCTTGTATGGTTTAAGGTAAATTCCTTAATTAAGGGATATTGGAACTTGCTTCCAAGGAGCCGAGCTAGCGCCAGGGCTTTCGCCAGGGTCCGGCTTTGGCGGCCGCGGCCCCCGGCTGCGAATCTGTGGAGCGAAGCCTGGCTGCGAGGGTCCCTACCTGAAGGACCAAATGACAATTAAAAGGAGGGGCCCGAAACCCCTGTACTATGAATCCCAATATGGTATATGAACCGTAAACCCTTTTAGGGTTCATTTCTTCCTTAAGGTAGAGCCACTGTTGAGGGTTTAGGCTCCTTAAAGGGGTCCTTCAAGGGATCTATAAGGGTTCTATTAAGGTGGTGGTCAGGTGACTTCCAAGGATATAGCTAGGGCTCCTTAAAGGGTTCCTTTAAGCGATCTAAGGATTCTATAAAGTGGGGGGTCAGGTGACGTAAAGGATCCTGGGACTCAGCAAGTAGGTTATAATTGGGGATATACGTTATCCTAAATCCGACCTTATTATAACCTTATATACTAAGTCACATGACCCTTTAAGGAGAGCCCAATTCTCTAGCTTTGCCAAATTAAGCTAAGGTATATTCCTTAATTTATCTAGGGGTCGTGGGCTCGCCGGGTCTAATATATGGGTAGCTGTCAAAACTAGGGCCCCCTTTTTGGGTCCTTAGTTTGATGCGGCACCTAGTCTTTTGGGTACCAAACAACGGGACCATAATTTTGACAACCACCCTTCTCTTAAATTCGCCTCGGCCCCGGCCGAAGCGGTCAGAGGTTCCTATTCGGATTCCCTCCCACCTCTTAATCCCCTCCCCAATGACCCCACACCAAAAATCGGGGCCACTGCCCCCCCCCCCCCCCCTTAACCCCCCCCCCCCTGATCCCCTTCCCTCCCGCCCCTCCTCCGCTCGCTGACAGGTGCGAGCTTTCTGGAGTTTTCGACGACACGGGACTACAATGTAGCATCTTTATGTGTTGGGGCTCGCCTTTAAGGCTGCAGTACCAAGCGAGTTTCAAACCTGAATTCCTAACCTTACACCCTAACCCCAGCCTGAAAACTTGGGGCTCGCCTGTAAGGCTGCAGTACCAAGGGAGTTTCAAACCTGAATTCCTAACCCTACACCCTAACCCCAGCCTGAAAAACTTTCAAAGCCCGGACAACACCTGCACCCGAAAGCACGACGCCCCCCTCCCCTGTTTTGCTTAATGACTTCAATATACTTTAACTCTATCAAAAAAACCCCAGCAAGGTCTTAATCATTGTTTGGGCCCCTATGTTGGTATCGAATTGATGGCTTTGCGTCTCAGGCTTGTTTTAGACGCCCTTTCGTTGGGATAGGCGGAGTAACGTGGTTGAAAAGGCTGTGATGCTTCCCTAATCCAAGACGCCCACGAAATCCACAGCCTCAACGGCCCATACTTAAGGCATCCCGCCGCTTGCGAGAGTCTTGGTATCCAGTGTTTCGGAATGACGACACCAAAATTCGTACTGATACTACCACTACTAATACTACTCACAATCATCCTGCTTCGTGTTGCTATGAACATTACTTTTACTATAAGTGCGATTCCAACTGTTACTTTTTTCCTACAAGAGCTTGCTGCAGATAGTAGCCACTCGCCGCATGCGCGTACAGCCGGGCCGAGGCGGACGACGCGCAGAGTTTCAAATTAGTCTTCTTATACCTGCGATGTTAGTAAGTTCTATTCAATTCATACCAACCATGCAGTTTGCTACACAAAACCTGTCGTCTTAGCTACGTTTATTGTTTCTTCTGAGTCTGTCAGAAACCCTCAACCCTAAATGTTGCTCTCTTAGGTTTCAAGCCGAGGGGGTCTAAAGTTCAGCTTTTAAGGTTCGTTTGGGGTAGAGGGTTTAGGGTTTTAGGTTCGAGGTTGACGGATTGAAATTTAGGGTTTGGGGGGCTGGGGGTGTGGGAGTTTGGGGCTTCATGTAGGGCTGAGGCTGCAATCCACATGCCATCCCGTGATGAAGAACGCGACGTTAGCCTTTGACAACATTCACATGGTCAGCAAGCGATCACTATATCTTCGTGTTGCTGCGGTAAAGCGGCTCCTATGATCGTCCTTAAACCCAAATAAATGTACAGACCCCCTCCCCCTAAGCTCTAAGACACGAAATCCCCAAACCCTCGAGAACCTACACACCCCAGTCCAAGTCCTAAAGTGTTTTAGAGCTTAAGGTTTAGGGGTTTTTAGGGTTTTTGGATTTAGGTGTTCAGGGTTTGGGGGTTCAGGGTTTAGTCAAGAGACTGGCAGGGGTCCTACAGAAACTTCGGCTCACGACCGACCTGCACGAATAGCAGCCATGTTCGACATGCGCGAAGCCGGTACCACATGATACAATATGGTTAGGGTTTGGGTTTTAGGGTCGCTATTGCAGGGAACTTTGATCGAGCCATCAACGCACTGCTCAATCAGTAGACTTGCCACACCGACGGAGAGGCAGGGTCCCCGCTGCGACAGCTCTTTGAATGACAGACAGCTGCGTGTGTGCGCAGCTTGCCTCCCTAGCTTCCCTTCACCAGCACTCGACCTTAAACCCGAAATCCCCTTGTTCGTGTGCGGAGGCTGTGGAGGCTGTGGCTTGTCGTCCGATTCGTCATGCGACATTTGGCGCGGGCAAGAACTTGACTCTACAGGATGCCTTAAAGGGGTGGTTGTCAAAATTATGGTCCCTTTTTGGTTACCTATTAGAATACGGCCCCTAATATTTATGGTACCCAAAAAAGGAACCCTAATTTTGCCAACTACCCATAAAGGGTTCAGAGTTTAGGTTATTTCGTTTTGCACTCCGAGGCTACAACACTTGAGGCCTGAACCCCCAAGCCCAACCCTAAACCCTAAACCCTAAAACCTAAACCCTAAACCCTAAACCCTAAACCCTAAACCTAAACCCTAAACCTAAACCCTAAACCCTAAACCCTAAACCCTAAAGCCCCTGAGACCCCCTGACCCCGAACCCCGCATCGTTCTCCCGAACCCCTCAGCCCGAAGCCTGACCCTTACTTGGAGGGTCGGGGGACTTAGTAACCGGTTATTTTAGGGACTTATAAGTACCATAACCCCAATTAGGGTCCCTTTTAGGGTACTTATAAGTCTACTACCTACTTAGTCCCCCGACCCTCCAAGTACCCCCAAACTAAACCCCAAGCCCTGTGGCCTCCCGTGAAGGCTCAGGGGACTTACTTGGAGGGGCAGGGGACTTAGTAAGTCGGTTATAAGTAGGGTTATAATTGGGGTAACTCCATTTAGGGTACTTATAACTCTACTTATAACCTACTTACTAAGTCCCCTGCCCCTCCAAGTAGCAAGTATCTTCGAAGTTCCAAGTGAAGCTATAATTGGGATATCCCCAGTCAGGGGGCACAAATCCAAACTCACTAGGTCACCTAAGCCCTTAAGTACGCAGAACTGCCATAGCCTGCTTGCTTGTAGGCTCTTGCTTCACGCATCCTTGTAGAACTTATAAGTGAACTTATCGGAACCCTAGAAAACACTCGCTCTTGGGAGTTTAAGGTAAGCCCGCTCCTAAGAGCGGTGTTTTTGGGTGTCGCAAGTTTTTGAACGGGCTTGATCATCGCTTTATGAGGTTACACAAGAATAGAGACTATAGATAAGGGAAGTTGTCAAAATTAGGGTCCCTTCTTGGGTACCTTAAATTAGGTGCAGTGTTATATTATATTATGTTATAATATTCAGGACCCAAAAGAGGGACCCTAATTTTGACAACTACCCAGATATAGGATGAGGTTTCGTGCCTCAAACATCCGGCAGCCGTGGAACCAACCGTGGCAAAGCAACGCCTGGGCCGGCGTTGTCGGTGAAGGGATCCCTTAAAGGATCCCTTAAAGGAGCCCTTAAAGGAGCACTTAAAGGATCCCTCAAAGCAGCCCTCTTTGGAGCACCATTTGGATCCCTTAAGGGATCCCTTAAAAGGAGCCCTAAAAAGGAGCACTTAAAGGAGCCCTTAAAGGAGTCCTTAAAGGAGTCCTTAACGGAACCCTTAAAGGATCCCTTAATGGATCCCTTAAAGGATCCCTTAAAGGAACCCTTAAAGGATCCCTTAAAGGAGCCCTTAAAGGAACCCTTAAGGGAATCCCTTAAAGGATCCCAGAAAAGTTCCCGAAAAGGAACCCTTAAAGGATCCCGAAAAGGATCCCTTAAAGGAACCCTTAAGGGATCCCTTAAAGGAGCCCTTAAAGGAACCCTTAAGGGCCTTCCTATAGCCCACAAGACAATTTAACTAATAAGGGATTATACCGGAGTTTCATAATAGGGAAGCAGTTAATTTTGACACGTATGCATCTTTTCGGAGACAGGTGGGGCTCTTGGTTTTTCTGTCCTCCTCTCAAACCCGGGGGCCTCAAGTACAAAAGGGCCCTTAATGATTAGAATCGGGTGTTGGGGCCCATTATGCTATATACTATAGATATAATAAGGGGCCCCTCACAATAGTATAGGTTTAAGGCCTCAATAGTATGCAAAGAGTACGTACCGACTTTGGGCTTCAAAGACTGCATCAATTTAAATGGTACCTCTTAAGGGGTTGGGTACACTAGCCCAGAAAAGGTAGGGTTCAGCGTCTAGGATTTAGGACTTTGGGGTTTGGGTTTAGGATTTAGGGCTTAGGGAGTACACTAGCCCAAAAAAGGCTAAACTTTGGAATTATAGTAGGGTTATATAAGATATAAGCCCCAAAAGGTTGTATCTAGTACCTGCTTCGGGCTATTTGGAGACCAAAGGAAAACAGAACAAGATTCTTGAGCAAGGAATGTTATCCAGGCCCTGTTTAGCACATTCAAGGTCTCTTGGCACAATAGCCCAAAAGCCTAAACCCTATGTATACCCTGAAAACACAACAACCTGGACCGCTCAACTACCAAGACGCTCAACCCGAGACGCTTGAAGCCCTATGTAGTCGAACGACGCCCAATCAAAACAAGTACAGTTGCGAATCCCCCAAACAATGAAACCCAAACGAACACCCCCAACCCACTACCCGATACAATCGTACCAAGCTCACTTCAAACGACAAAACCCAATACTCCCCCCGATCATTAACAAAAACCCGAAACCCTAAACTAAAATCCTCGACCCTAAACCCTAATTCCTAAATCCTAAACCCCTGAACTAAAAGCCTCGACCCTAAACCCTAAACCCTGAATCATAAACCCCTGAACCCTGAACTAAAAGCCTCGACCCTAAACCCTAAATCCTAAATCCTAAACCCTGAACCCCTGAACCCTAAACTAAAAGCCTCGACCCGAAATCCCCAAATCCTGAACCCCTGAACCCTAAACTAAAACACTCGACCCTAAACCCTAAACCCTAAATCCTAAATCCTATTCCTAAACCCCTGAACCCTTAAAGCTACAACGCGCTGAGAAACGTAGTCCCTCTGCAGGTCCCCAGTGTGGAGCTGCAGCTGGAGATCCTCAGCAGCAATCGTCTTAGGGTTTGGCTTAAGGTTTAGGGTTTAGGGCTTAGGGTTTAGGGTTTAGGCTTAGGATTTAGGGTTGAGGGTTTAGGGCTTAGGGTTCAGGGCTTAGGGTTTAGGGCTAAGGGTCTAGATTTTAGGGCTGCGCGCTTAGAAAACCTTGATCATTAGACAGGCTTCCTTCGGAGATCGAAACCAAACCCATGATCTCAGGACCCCGATTATGATTATTGGTGGAAGGCGGGGTGGTTAACCAGGGGTCTGCATTAACCTGTTGCTTTCTTGTCAAGGCCCGTTTGAACTGTAATCGGTTTAGGGTTTAAGGGAATCGGGGGTTGGGGTGCATGGTCAGGGCAATGAGAGTTTGGCATAGGGTATGGGGGTGCAGGGTGTAGCTTAGGCATGGTTTGGGGCTTACGGCTCACCCTTAAACCATGGATCCCCTAAACCTGCAAGCCCTGTAACCTCAACATCAAGGCTCCTCAGACTCATAAAGAAAATCATTTCTACCGAGCCCTTAGGTTGGTTTGCTGTTCACAAGAAGGGAAAAATGATTCCTCAAGGAACATCGGAACACCCTGTAAACTCTCAAACTTGCCGCGTAGCGTAGAAGGCCTCGTAGGTCGTTGCCAGCAGGACAAGGCCAGAGCAAGGCACGTCCAGGCGGTGCAGAAACCCGTGCCTAAGACAAGGGCCTTAACAATCGGAGGAGGGGTTCCCCCAGAGCCTCCAAAACCCCTGAATTAAGGAATATACCTTAAATTATAATAGGATCCCTTTTTTTGATTTGTGGTATGTTCCTTAATTAAGGGGTTTTGGAGGCTCTGGTTCCATTCACTTACCTTTGGTTAGTAGGGAATGGAAGAATGGTAGTAATAGTAGTTATAAATAGTTATAATCATACCCCATTCCTCCATTCCCTACACTATCCAAAGGTAAGGACAGGGGCCTTAAGAATCGGAGTGGGTTCCTTTCAGGGTTCCTCGAAGGATTTCTGTAAGGGCTTCGATCGTGGTCTTTTGACAGTGCTTATGTCGCTGCTACAGGCTTAGGATTCCAAGACTTTTGCTCTTGTGTTGTGCTGGGTCACGATTTCTGCTAAGAATGGGCTTGGGCTTGGAGGGGGCTTGCAAACGAGCCGGAGCCCTTTAGCGACAGCAGCACCTCTTACAACCAAAATCTCAACTTTGCTGGTTCGGTGTTTGTGGAAGTTTCAGAAATCAGAACCCCTGAAGTTAGACCCCAAATGATAGGATCCTTGGTAGCGAGACCCGGGGCACCGCCCAAAGACCCTATGATGGAAGGCCAACAGGAGGGTTTAAGATTCCTTTCGGCCAGGATTCCTTGATATGAACCCTATTATGGGAAACCTAATCCCCACTAAACCCCCATAGGCTAAAGCCCCCGTTTGGCCTCCTATGACCCTAGTTCCCAGGGACTCCAATATCCCTTAATTAAGGAATATTCCTTACATCATGTTAGGGATCCTACTATAACTTAAGGTATATTCCTTAATTAAGGGATATTGGAGTCTCTGGGTTTAAGAAACATCAGAAAATCGAGATCACCTATACTAAACCCTTTTAGATCCCTTGTCGTAACGCTATAGACCCCTTTAAAGGGAACCTAGTTTAAGACACAGCAGAAGACGAGATCACCCCGTCTGCAGGCGACTGGCCAGTGTGCGGCATCGCCAAAGATGGGAGTGCGTTCGCCGAATCTGGCCTTGCGGCGACGGTCCAAACTTGAACTCTCATGGGACTTAGTAAGTAAGTAAGGTTATAACTAGCTTATAATTAGGATTACCCCACTTAGGGGACTTGTAACCCCAATTATAACCTACTTACTAAGTCTAAGTATAGGTGGTTGTCAACATTAGGGTCCCTTTTTGGGTACCCGAAATAATAGGTGCCGGATTAGAATAGGGACCCAAAAAGGACCATAATTTTGACAACCGCCCATATGAAAACCGTGAAAGAAGGCATGAGAGTTCATAGGACGATGGGATTTGGTATGCCCTAAACCCTAAACCCTAAACCCTGAGCGTTTAACTGCAAGCTCCTCGCAACTGGTTGTAAAGAACCTGCTCTTTAGATGCGTGGTCGAGAACTTCCCCCTATGTTTTCTGATACACTGCTTCAAAATTGGCTCTACACTAAAAGTCCTTGGGCATTCCTCGGTAAATGATGGGTGATGCTCAGTGACAAGTCAGAGGACACACAAACTTGCCAAACAAGATCCAGAACAATCCTGGGCCGTGAACCGCCCTAAACCACACACCTAGGCACCACACTTGATGAGTGGAAGAGAACCCATCTCTCTGACTTATGCCAAACATACATACATCACAGCGAAGGAAACGAGCTCTGAACCCTGAACCCTGGTCACCTAAGCCCTACATAAGCCCAACCTCGAAGTCTAGAGTCGCCAAAGCAGATCTCCTCTTTACTCTGCCTGCAGATCCAAAGCCCGCGAATCAGCAGCAGTCATAGTATATAAAGTCTGACCCCATCCTCTTCGGGTACCGATCTGGGAGTTTCCGAAAATTAGGGGTACCTTAGGGTTCCTTTAAAGGGGTAACTATAAGGGGTACTATAAGGGTTCCTTTCAAGGGCTCTATAAGGGTTTGTAAGGAGTTTCCGAAAATTGTGGGTACCTTATTTTGGGCCCTTGTAGCAAGGACCCTACTTTTCAGGGTACTATATATTAGGGTCCCCTATTTTTCGGAAACTCCCATCTCTTAAATCGAAGGTTTTGTTCTGGATCCACAGGTAATAGCCCGGTACTCCCTCAAAGCCTCTAGCACTAAACTCCTCGACTAATGTAGGAACCTGATTTAGAAACTCTGAGCCTACAACCCCCAAAACAGTAGGATTCATATAAGGAACCCTACTGAAGGCCCAAGGTTTCTGAATCAGGTTCCTAGATTACAAAGTACTGGAGCTTCAAGGATTGCTATGCAAAAACACCCGAGTCCCTACACGATCGCACTCAAACCCCCTATTGCCCTAAACCCTAAACCCTAAACCCTAAAACCCAAATCCGAAGCCCAGACTCTGATCATGATGTGTTAAACCCCAAAAGCTTTAAAAGACTAGCTACCCCTAGAAAAAACCTTGAAACCTCAATTCTAAATCCTATAACTTCAACCCGCCGAAAGCAAGATCCTAAACTCGAGTCCTAAACCCGCCATCCAAGCTGACCTAGAACATCCTGGAGCCCTCGCCCCACTGCAATGGAGACTAGAGGTAGGCCGTAGCTCCTCTTTGGGGTTACCTTAGATAGAATCTGAAAATCTCTGATAAGTTAGTACACAACATGGAACCGCAATGGAGACGATAGGTAGGCCGTGGCTTCCCTTCGACTTCGACCCTTGTCCCACCTTGGCAAGGTCCAACAGCTGTACAGGCGCCTGGCGCAGGCTGCAAGGCCACAATCTATTTAACCTAGGGGCCTTAATGATTAGAATACGGTTTTGGGGCCCGATATACTATGATCATATAATATAGGAGCCTTAATGATTAGACTAGGGTTTTGGGGCTCATTATTCTATCATCATAGTAAGGAACCCCCAAAATAGTATTGGTAATCATTCAGGCCCCTAGAGTAGTTGCACAGTATCCGAAGGGAACTAAAGGTTAACCTTTGGGGCTATACAAGGATCAGACCACCGCCAAAAAAGGTGAAGGTTACTCTACCGCTTATAAGGGTAGGGGCCATGATAAAGGATCCCCAATCTTCTAAGATTTTCGGTATTAGTTGTAAGGGCGTGGCCCATGTCCCCCAACCCTGACCCTAAACCCTAAACCGTAAAGCCTGAAAGGCTAAAATACAACCCTAATCCATCCTAAACCCTGAACCCTGATCACCCTGATGCCCGACCTTAACCTACCAAAACCTACTCTTTTGCAGGTTCTTATTATGAACCCTGATATGGACTTCATAGGGACCCTACAAAAAACAAGGTTCTGGTGGCTTATGCCCGAGAATCTCAAACTCGAAAACCCATAACCTTAATCCCCGAACCTCGACATCGGTGCCGCAACCCTAAACTCTACTTGGAATGTGGGACTTAGTAAGTAAGGTTATTAGTACCCTAATTGGGGTTTTAAATACGTATATGTATGGCTATCTTACTTATAACCCTACTAAGTCCCCTGGTCCTTCAAGTAGACCCTCTGTACGCCCTAAACTCTTCACCAGGATTTAGGCCGTTAGGGTTGTTGTATTTGAGAAGCTTTGGGACTGGCGCTTGGGAGTGTTAGAAGCTTGGCGTGTACTTAGAGGGTCAGGGGACTTAGTAACTCGGGTTCCTTCATGGCTCCTTTAAGGGATCTATAAGGGTTCTACTCGTATAAGGAGGCGTTTTAGGATACTTAGAGGATCATGGGACTTAGTAAGTTGGTAGGTTATATAATTGGGGTTATAAGTCCGCTAAGTGGGGTTATTCTATAGCCTACTGATAACCCTACTTACTAAGTCCCATGAGCCGTTAAGTAGAGTGCTGCCACTAAGGCTTTGGAGGCTCTGGGGTTTTAGGGCTTTGCGTAGAGGAGCTCCAGTAAGGTTACAAGTAGGTTATAAGACCCCCACTTAGGGGACTTATAACCCCAACTATGACCTACTTACCAAGCCCCATGAGCCTTTAAGTAGCGTTCAGTGTTAGGGTTTAAGGTTTCGGATTGCAGGTTGAGGTTGAGTACCGCCAACCCGCAAAGAACCGAAACCTGTGGCCTACAACTTGGTCGGAAAGCCCTGCGCCGGAGCCCTACATCTCAAACCGTCAAGGGCCCTAAATGCATGGCGTTACCATGTGCCTCCCCATCGCAGACACCCGTGCCCGGATCTTTGGTCAGAACGTGGCCTCATCAAGCTCGGAAGTAACAGCGACGGGACGAGCTATTAACTACTTAGTTGCTGAGTTCATAAGCCCCCCAAAAGTGTACACTTTTAGCTTCATAGTGGGTAATGTTTTCCCAAAAAGTATAAAGTGTATCCACTCAGCTACTAAGACTAGGCCGTCGCATCCCTGAGCAGCATGCCCTCAAGTCTCAAGGCTCCAAGCCGCAAGAAAGAGATGAAGAAAAGAAACGAAGACTTCACAGCGACAATAGCAGCAGCAAACGAAGGAAGAACAAAGACTGCAACTTTAAACCCGTTGCCCGGACCCCCAACGACAGCAGAACAGCAGCAACAACGACCAACATCCACACCAACAGGACGGTCAGCACGGACATCCAACAACCGCAACTTGACGACGGCGATGGTGCAGCTATGCAAAGCAGCACAACGCGGCAGCAAAGATCTTACCATAATCATGAAACTAAGCCCGAGCCCCTGGGACTTTCGGCAAACGAGGGACCTCAGACACACCCCAAAGATTAGGGAGCAGTCTCATTTGATTGCAGGGTCTTCCAACTATGGAGATCACATTGAAAGTATAAGAGAAGGGTTTGTAACAGTCTTAAAAAGGGGGCCTTAATACTTAGACCGGGATCTTTGAGGTGTATTCTACTATGATGCCCTAAAAATCGGATGAGATGCGATCCGTGGTGTCGTGTCGCTTCTGTCCGCCACGTGAGTCGCGAAGGTTGCCACAGCGGCGGAGGAGCCGCGAAAGAGGGGACCTCTGAAAACCAGGTAATAGGGTCTTGGGTTAAGGTTTGGGAGTTTAGGCCTTCTGTCGGGAAACAAGATTTAAGGCAGGGTTAGGGTTTCGGAGTTTAGGTATTTATTGGATTTGCTCGGTTCTAATTTCTTTCGACAACACAGCTGGCCTGCTACTTTAACTAAGATGGGCTTGAAAGCATTTTCACGAGTGCCTATTGACTTTGGTACTGTAAGCTCGAGATCGCAACAGCAAGTCTATCCTCTAATTGGGAGTTTCCGAAAATAGGGACCCCAATATAGTACCCGTACCCTAAGTAGTAGGATCCTTTTTATAAGGACCCCCAAAATAAGGTACCCCTATTTTCGGAAACTCACAGAAATACTCTTAAACCCTAAAAACTTTTACAATCCCTATGCCTATAGATCCCTTAAAGGAACCCTTGTCGTACCCTTTAAAGGAACCCCCATATCCCTAAACCACTTTGCAAGAAACAGCATCGGAGCTGCCTACACCAGCTGGCGAGGGCATCTGCCATGTTGCACATGAAGGCAATGCCAACGAGGTCCTGTGGAAAGTCTAGGCGGGGGTTTTTTGTTTTTAGAAGGTTCTAAAAACCCAAACCTTGGCCAAACCTTCCAAAAAACGGACCCGAAAGTCTAAACCCTAAACCCCTGCACCGTTCGGGATACTGTTCGTCCCAAACCCTAAACACCTACCTGCTTGACCAATATCCTACAGGATCTTGGCGATTATAATTGCAAAAAAGATAAAGGTTCCTACTCTGCTACTAGGCCAAACCCTGAACACATGCATCCTTAAGCTCTCAACCCCAAGCCCTACATGCATGATAGAAGGGCCTCAACACGTAGACGACGTAGACACGGGTTTAGTGGTTGGCGGCTCGGGCGTGCAGGTGACGTTCAAGGGCTCCTGCACGACGGCTACAGAGAGTTAGAAATGGGTTTAGGGGGGTATATTGTAACAACGCCATTGTAAGGAACCGCCTAAAAATAGTGTTGGTAATTACTTCGGCCCCTACACTACACCCCCCTTAGACCCATCATAAACAACATAGTTCTACTGTTTCTTTGGGGTTTTATGTGAACAAAAACACAAACAAATTCCTAAGGAAACTATAGCATAATAAAAATCGCTATAATGTTCTCTGGGGTTTTATGTGAACAAAACTACAAACTATTTCTTAAAGAAGCTATAGCACAATAGACTCGTAGATCGGGACCCTCGCACGTCTCCTGGCCATGACGGGTCCAGAAATCCGCGACGTCGATGCGCAGATCCGGCAGCCGACGAACCATCTCCGCCTGGAAAACAGGGTTAGAGGGTTAGGGTTTAGGGTTTTAACGTTTCCAGGTTGTCGGGTTTAGGGACTGAGAGGCTGACTAGCAAAGCCCAAAAAGGGTAACTTTTTGAACTATAGTTGGCTCATATTATAAGCCCCAAAAGGTTACTTGCTCAGCCCCTAAGCCCCAAACCCTAAACTCTGAAGTGGGGTAAAGGCTTCGGAGCTTAGGATTTAAAGTTTCGGTAGGAATGTCGCTGGTCAAGCCGTCCAGGCCCCTAAATTAAGGGCCGGCGATAATGCCTATTCCTACCCTCCTCCCTCTTCCTCTCTGAGGGCCCTTCTGACAATGAGGACAGCAGATCTCTTATGATGGCAGCTTGAAGTAAGCCTCGTTAGAAGCGCATCCCCCCAGTCTGCCTAGCTCACTCACTAGAGCGCGTGGACAACATCGCTCAAACCTTCCGGATCCTAAACATAGCCCTCAAGCCCAAAGTGTAAAGCCCAAACCTGTGCGATAAAAGCCAAAACAAATCCCCAAAACCTCGGACCTGTATTGCCACCCACGTGCGTGAAGATGGTTCTGTCGCTTCCACGCCTGCGACCGGCTATAAGTCTGAGGGATTCAGGAGGTTTCCCCAGGACCCCCACGTGCAGCCCGTAGGGCCCGTCATAGTTTATAGTGGGTGACTATAAGGTATAACAGAGGGTAGTTGCGGGGTATTGGTAAAGTTGTGGGTTTTAGGGTTTAGGTTCTTGGCTTGGGGTCTTGTGGTAGTTTGGGGTCTTCAGGGGTTGATAAAGGAAAGGGTCGGGGCTCTGAGCTCCTTTTGATCAAAAACCCAGGACCTCGTGGGGATCTAGAACTTAGTTGCTGAGTTCCTAAGCCTCAAAAAGCTTACACTTTCAGTTTTATAGTGCGTAATATTACCCCAAAAAGTGTAAAGCACATCCACTCAGCTACTAGAAGAAAGTAGGACCGGTACCTTGGAACCCGGTACTACGCACTGTTGAATTGAAGGCTTTGTCGGGAAGGGCTTTAGGGATTTGGGTTTGGGGTCAGGGCGTTCAGAGTTTACAGTGCGTGCGGGCTCAGTGGCCGCAGATGGCCATGCGCTGGATTGCGCCGATTGCGCTGGAATGCGCTGGAATGCGTTGGAATGCGCTGGAAAGCACCGATTGCGCCGAATTGCGCCGATTGCGCCGAATTGCGCCAATTGCGCCGAATTGCGCCAATTGCGCCGTCTGCGCCGAATTGCGCCGAATTGCGCCGATTGCGCCGAATTGCGCCGAATTGCGCCGATTGCGCCGAATTGCGCTGGAATTCTGCCTATACAGGCTGGCGCACAGGCAATACTACCCTGTGGCTGTTGCAGCCTGGTTGCGTCTCCTTGGTTTTGCAGCCTGCCCTGTCGTACCAGGTTTTTGTGGCTCATTGATGGCAGCAGTTCCCGCAGTCCTGCGATTTCTCTTCAACTGTCAGTCAGAGAGAGTTTTTACATTTCACGTGTTGTTATTGCATCCTATTCAGCGGATTTTTTGGCGAACGACCACGAATCTCGACTCAATTGACGTGCTCTTGTGATTTCTAAATCACAACCCTTACAGAGCTTGAACTCCGAGGGTGGGGCCTTGGACTCTGATGGGCCCTTGCAGATCCTTGAACTCCGAGGGTGGGGCTTTGGACTGATGGGGCACCCCTGATTCTTAAAGCAAAGCTTTGACAGATGTTGAACTCCGAGGATGAGGACTTGGACTGATGGAGCGTCCATGATTTTCAGATCACCACCTCTTAGTGAGCTTGAACTCCGAGGGTGGGGCCTTGGACTCTGATGGGGCGGGGCGCCCCTGATTTTTAAATCAGAACCCTTACAGATCCTTGCACTCCGAGGGTGGGGCTTTGGACTGATGGGGCACCCCTGATTCTTAAAGCTCGGTCTTTCTCCTCGCGCCTAGCTCAGCAAAATCTGCTTCCACATAGAAACATGCTACCGGAAGCGTTGCATGACAAGCTTGAGGATTCAAATCAAAGCTTTGACAGATGTTGAACTCCGAGGATGAGGACTTGGACTGATGGAGCGCCCATGATTTTCAGATCATCGCCTCTTAGTGAGCTTAAACTCCGGGGCGGGGGCCTTGGACGCCCCTGGTTTTTAATCAGAACTCTTACAAATCTTGAACTCCGAGGGTCGGGCCTTGGGTTGATGGGGCACCCCTGATTTCTAAATCACAACCCTTACAGATCTTGAACTCCGAGGGTGGGGCCTTGGACTCTGATGGAGCGGCGCGCCCCTGATTTTTAAATCAGAACCCTTACAGATCCTTGAACTCCGAGGGTGGGGTTTTGGACTGATGGGGCACCCCTGATTCTTAAAGCAAAGCTTTGACAGATGTTGAACTCCGAGGGTGGGGCCTTGTACTCTGATGGAGCGGGGCGCCCCTGATTTTTAAATCAGAACCCTTACAGATCCTTGAACTCTGAGGGTGGGGCTTTGGACTGATGGGGCACCCCTGATTCTTAAATCAAAGCTTTGACAGATGTTGAACTCCGAGGAGGAGGCCCTGGACTGATGGAGCGCCCATGATTTTCAGATCACCGCCTCTTAGTGAGCTTGAACTCCGGGGGTGGGGCATTGGACGCCCCTGGTTTTTTAATCAGAGCTCTTTCAAATCTTGAACTCCGAGGGTGGGGCCTTGGACTCTGATGGAGCGGGGCGCCCCTGATTTCTAAATCACAACCCTTACAGATCTTGAACTCCGAGGGTGGGGCCTTGGACTCTGATGGAGCGGGGCGCCCCTGATTTTTAAATCAGAACCCTTACAGATCCTTGAACTCCGAGGGTGGGGCTTTGGACTGATGGGGCACCCATGATTTTCAGATCACCGCCTCTTAGTGAGCTTGAACTCCGGGGGTGGGGCCTCGGACGCCCCTGGTTTTTTAATCAGAACTCTTTCAAATCTTGAACTCCGAGGGTGGGGCCTTGGACTCTGATGGAGCGGGGCTCCCCTGATTTCTAAATCCCAACCCTTACAGATCTTGAACTCCGAGGGTGGGGCCTTGGACTCTGATGGAGCGGGGCGCCCCTGATTTTTAAATCAGAACCCTTACAGATCCTTGAACTCCGAGGGTGGGGGTTTGGACTGATGGGGCACCCCTGATTCTGAAATCAAAGCTTTGACAGATGTTGAACTCCGAGGATGAGGACTTGGACTGATGGAGCGTCCATGATTTTCAGATCACCACCTCTTAGTGAGCTTGAACTCCGGGGGTGGGGCCTTGGACTCTGATGGGGCGGGGCGCCCCTGATTTTTAAATCAGAACCCTTACAGATCCTTGAACTCCGAGGGTGGGGCTTTGGACTGATGGGGCACCCCTGATTCTTAAAGCTCGGTCCTTCTCCTCGCGCCTAGCTCAGCGAAATCTGCTTCCACATAGAAACATGCTACCGGAAGCGTTGCATGACAAGCTTGAGGATTCAAATCAAAGCTTTGACAGATGTTGAACTCCGAGGATGAGGACTTGGACTGATGGAGCGCCCATGATTTTCAGATCACCGCCTCTTAGTGAGCTTGAACTCCGGGGGTGGGGCCTCGGACGCCCCTGTTTTTTTTAATCAGAACTCTTTCAAACCTTGAACTCCGAGGGTCGGGCCTTGGGTTGCTGGGGCACCCCTGATTTCTAAATCACAACCCTTACAGAGCTTGAACTCCGAGGGTGGGGCCTTGGACTCTGATGGAGCGGGGCGCCCCTGATTTTTAAATCAGAACCCTTACAGATCCTTGAACTCCGAGGGTCGGGCCTTGGGTTGCTGGGGCACCCCTGATTTCTAAATCACAACCCTTACAGAGCTTGAACTCCGAGGATGAGGACTTGGACTTTGATGGAGCGGGGCGCCCCTGATTTTTAAATCAGAACCCTTACAGATCCTTGAACTCCGAGGGTGGGGCTTTGGACTGATGGGGCACCCCTGATTCTTAAATCAAAGCTTTGACAGATGTTGAACTCCGAGGAGGAGGACTTGGACTGATGGAGCGCCCATGATTTTCAGATCACCGCCTCTTAGTGAGCTTGAACTCCGGGGCGGGGGCCTTGGACGCCCCTGGTTTTTAAATCAGAACTCTTACAAATCTTGAACTCCGAGGGTCGGGCCTTGGGTTGCTGGGGCACCCCTGCCTTCTAAATCGCAACCCTTACAGATCTTGAACTCCGAGGGTGGGGCCTTGGACTCTGATGGAGCGGGGCGCCCCTGATTTTTAAATCAGAACCCTTACAGATCCTTGAACTCCGAGGGTGGGCTTTGGACTGATGGGGCACCCCTGATTCTTAAATCAAAGCTTTGACAGATGTTGAACTCCGAGGAGGAGGCCTTGGACTGATGGAGCGCCCATGATTTTCAGATCACCGCCTCTTAGTGAGCTTGAACTCCGGGGGTGGGGCCTCGGACGCCCCTGTTTTTTTTAATCAGAACTCTTTCAAAGCTTGAACTCCGAGGGTCGGGCTTTGGGTTGCTGGGGCACCCCTGATTTCTAAATCACAACCCTTACAGAGCTTGAACTCCGAGATGGAGCGGGGCGCCCCTGATTTTTAAATCAGAACCCTTACAGATCCTTGAACTCTGAGGGTGGGGCTTTGGACTGATGGGGCACCCCTGATTCTTAAATCAAAGCTTTGACAGATGTTGGACTCCGAGGAGGAAGCCCTGGACTGATGGAGCGCCTATGATTTTCAGATCACCGCCTCTTAGTGAGCTTGAACTCCGGGGGTGGGGCCTCGGACGCCCCTGGTTTGTTTAATCAGAACTCTTTCAATTCTTGAACTCCGAGGGTGGGGCCTTGGACTCTGATGGAGCGGGGCGCCCCTGATTTTTAAATCAGAACCCTTACAGATCCTTGAACTCCGAGGGTGGGGCTTTGGACTGATGGGGCACCCCTGATTCTTAAATCAAAGCTTTGACAAATGTTGAACTCAGGATGAGGACTTGGACTGATGGAGCGCCCATGATTTTCAGCGCCTCTTAGTGAGCTTGAACTCCGGGGGTTGGGCCTCGGACGCCCCTGGTTTTTTGATCAGAACTCTTTCAAAGCTTGAACTCCGAGGGTCGGGCCTTGGGTTGCTGGGGCACCCCTGATTTCTAAATCACAACCCTTACAGATCTTGAACTCCGAGTGTGGGGCCTTGGACTCTGATGGAGCGGCGCGCCCCTGATTTTTAAATCAGAACCCTTACAGATCCTTGAACTCTGAGGGTGGGGCTTTGGACTGATGGGGCACCCCTGATTCTTAAATCAAAGCTTTGACAGATGTTGAACTCCGAGGCCCCCGGGCCTAGCACTCTCTTTGGGGCGGGGGTTTCTTGTGGAAAGGTGTGGACCCCGGGCGGCGGCACTAAGGGCTTTTGCCCGATGTGCACCCCCTTTCCCCCCCTCCCCTGTGCTAGGGCGACAGTGCCCTCTGTTGTTGCAACTGATCCGGCGATGCCGACGTCTCCACCCATCATGGGCCTGAGGACATTCAGTGTATATGTGAGGTATTCCACGCTCACCATATGCATTAGCAACTCCCTGGATTGCTACCTTTGTTATCGGCCTTGTTCCAGGGCTGCGCCTCTGTGCTGTTCATTGCCGCGGTGATGTGCATGTTCATTTACTGTACCTGATTGGTGGCGTGCTCGCCCTCGGTGCTGGAACAGTGTTCCCTCGGCACATGGCGCACGCCTTTGGGTCGCCTTGTGTGTGCCCTCTGTGCATGGAGCCTCGCTCCCTCGGCACTGGCCGCACGGTTCGCCCCCTTTCAACTCTTTGCGTCTGCTGCCGGTTACTTGGTGTGTTCTTTGTTGCATACAAGCATAAGTATTATCGGTTGGTGACGTCTGGCTTGGCCTCCTGCCTGCTTTATCCCTGATCAAGGACTATGCCTCTCCGATTCTTGGGTTTGAAACATGTACCTTAGTATTCTACACCGTGACCTGTCTGCACCAGCTAGTTTTTCCCCCACTTGAACTCTGGGACGGAGGGAGGCGATGACGCTTGCGGAGCCCCCCTGAGATGTTGAGAGGGACGTGGGAGGTAGGCCGCACCGTAAGTGCTGGTCGACACTCACTCACTCACTCACTCACTTGAACTCCGAGGAGGAGGCCCTGGACTGATGCAGCGCCTATGATTTTCAGATCACCGCCTCTTAGTGAGCTTGAACTCCGGGGGTGGGGAGTCGGACGCCCCTGGTTTGTTTAAGCAGAACTCTTTCAAATCTTGAACTCCGAGGGTGGGGCCTTGGACTCTGATGGAGCGGGGCGCCCCTGATTTTTAAATCAGAACCCTTACAGATCCTTGAACTCCGAGGGTGGGGCTTTGGACTGATGGGGCACCCATGATTTTCAGATCACCGCCTCTTAGTGAGCTTGAACTCCGGGGGTGGGGCCTCGGACGCCCCTGGTTTTTTTGATCAGAACTCTTTCAAAGCTTGAACTCCGAGGGTCGGGCCTTGGGTTGCTGGGGCACCCCTGATTTCTAAATCACAACCCTTACAGATCTTGAACTCCGAGGGTGGGGCCTTGGACTCTGATGGAGCGGGGCGCCCCTGATTTTTAAATCAGAACCCTTACAGATCCTTGAACTCTGAGGGTGGGGCTTTGGACTGATGGGGCACCCCTGATTCTTAAATCAAAGCTTTGACAGATGTTGAACTCCGAGGAGGAGGCCCTGGACTGATGGAGCGCCCATGATTTTCAGATCACCGCCTCTTAGTGAGCTTGAACTCCGGGGGTGGGGCCTCGGACGCCCCTGGTTTTTTAATCAGAACTCTTTCAAATCTTGAACTCCGAGGGTGGGGCCTTGGACTCTGATGGAGCGGGGCGCCCCTGATTTTTAAATCAGAACCCTTACAGATCCTTGAACTCCGAGGGTGGGGCTTTGGACTGATGGGGCACCCCTGATTCTTAAATCAAAGCTTTGACAGATGTTGAACTCCGAGGATGAGGACTTGGACTGATGGAGCGCCCATGATTTTCAGATCACCGCCTCTTAGTGAGCTTGAACTCCGGGGGTGGGGCCTCGGACGCCCCTGGTTTTTTTGATCAGAACTCTTTCAAAGCTTGAACTCCGAGGGTCGGGCCTTGGGTTGCTGGGGCACCCCTGATTTCTAAATCACAACCCTTACAGATCTTGAACTCCGAGGGTGGGGCCTTGGACTCTGATGGAGCGGGGCGCCCCTGATTTTTAAATCAGAACCCTTACAGATCCTTGAACTCCGAGGGTGGGGCTTTGGACTGATGGGGCACCCCTGATTCTGAAATCAAAGCTTTGACAGATGTTGAACTCCGAGGATGAGGACTTGGACTGATGGAGCGCCCATGATTTTCAGATCACCGCCTCTTAGTGAGCTTGAACTCCGGGGGTGGGGCCTCGGACGCCCCTGGTTTGTTTAATCAGAACTCTTTCAAATCTTGAACTCCGAGGGTCGGGCCTTGGGTTGCTGGGGCACCCCTGCCTTCCTTCTAAGTCGCAACCCTTACAGATCATGAACTCCGAGGGTGGAGCCTTGGGTTGATGGGGCGCCCCTGATATCAGGTTTATCGGGTTTATCGGGTTTCTCGGGTTTCTCGGGTTTCTCGGGTTTCTCAGGTTTCTCGGGTTTCTCGGGTTTCTCGGGTTTCTCGGGTTTCTCGGGTTTCTCGAGTTTCTCGGGTTTCTCGGGTTTCTCGGGTTTCTCGGGTTTCTCGGGTTTCTCGGGTTTAGCGGTGTGCGTCCGCTGTTTGCGCGCGCAATGAGAGTTTAGGCTGGTTGAAGGTTGAGGGGTTAGGGTGGAGTCAGGCACCCTACTTGGTAGATAGATAGACAGAGGGGGGGAGAGATACAGAAATAGAGGGACGGAGAGAGATATGCCTGCATGTGCATATATATATACACACACACGCAGATACACGCATGTACTGAGGGCATCGAGGGTCTGAAAAGTCGCAGCTGGTCGAGTGTGACATTGTGGGAGTTTTCCAAGGGAAGTAACCTTCAGGGTGTAAGTTCTGAAAGATTCGCCCCTGCCTTTTTCAGGCTTCGGGATTAAAACGTTTAGGGTTACTTAGTTGCTGAGTTCATAAGCCCCCCAGAAGTGTACACTTTCAGTTTTATAGTGGGTAATATTAACCCAAAAAGTGTAAAGTGTATCCACCCAGCTACTAAGGTTAAAAGCTCATGCTTGAAACTTGGACGGCGAACCGCATCATGCCCCAAAGCCCATTGTTGCGGACCTGGGCGGTTCCTGGCATACGACGATCCCCACTAACCCGGAGAAAGACAGGATCCCCGCTTATGCTCTTCGGAACTTTATAAAGAGCCCAGGACCTAAGTCCACAAAAAGGAAAAAGGGCTTGCTGGGAGACCGGGGATACGAAATTTACACACAATCCCTGAAGCCTGAGCCCTAAACTCGAAATCCTAAAGCCTAAACCCTAAACCCTAAACCCTATTTAAAGCCTAAACCGTAAACCCCAAATTTTAAACTCCAAACCGAAGCCGGAACCGGTTCAGGTTGGCGCTGAGGGTTCAGAGAAAAGTTCCATGGGCTCCAAGTGGCTTCGGGCTTGGGTTGTTAGGGTTTAGGGTTTAGGGTGTAGGGGTTTAGGGTAATTCCGTGGCTTACCTCAAGGACGAAATGTACACCCAAAGGGGTCAACGTTGAGATAGCATATAGGGATTCATATTTCCAGGGTAAAAGGGCCCTTATACATTCACGTACCATACTGTCCCGAAACCCCAAACCCTTTTATGGGTCATTTGGGTCAAGTGTGGTGCCACTCCCTTGTCCCAGCCTGCAGCCAAGCGTAGTAATGCCTGCACAAGACGCGGAAAGTGGTTCCGTTCAACTTAGCTGACCCCGAGAGCCCAATACCCCTTAGTTATAGAATATGGCTCCAACCACGATGTGAGGCCCCTGCATAATCCTTAAACAGTAAGCCGTAAACCCCTTAGAATTTAAGGTGGCCCCCTTAATATAGAAGCCTTCATGTTTAGAGTACGGTGTTGGGGCCCATTATACTCTGCTTATTACTTGAGACCATACAATCGGCAACCTAGCCGACTGCTTACCGCTTTCTGTGTGAAGTTCTTGACAACAGAAACAGCAGAACGTATCAAAGAGCTCCCCTCTGAATACTTCGCCACATAGTTTCCATGCTCCTTCAGCTAGTTGCTGAGTATAAGCCCCAAAAAGTCTACACTTTCAGTTTTGTAGTGGGTAGAATCATCCCAAAAATGTGTAAAGTGTACCCACTCAGCTACTAAGTTCATAACTGAACATCCTAACTTCAGGCATATTGCCAGCAGCACGCTTCTTGTCTTCTACAGCCGTATCTGTTTCCTGAGTTTTTCAATTCTTCATCAGTGACTTCTAGGATACCCAGTAACCTAAGAATAAAAAGGCCTCTCTTTTTGGTATTGGGTAACTTTATAAGGAACCTAGGACTACAAAAAGGGAATAAGGGTACTACTGGGCATCCTAGCCTCATTGTTTGTCTGCGGTACCAGCTTCAACAGCATCAGGATCCTGACCATCACATGGGAGTTTCAGAATATTAGGGGGTACCTTATTTTGGGGTCCTTATAAGGGTTGCTTTAAGGGAACTATAAGGGTTCCTTTAATTAAGGGGCTCTATAAGGGTTTAGAGTTCCGAAAATTAGGGGTACCTTACTTTGGGGTCCTTATAATAAGGATCCTACTATTTAGGGTACTATATTAGGGTTCCCTATTTTCTGAAACTCCCACATTGCTTTCTGCAAGTAGCATGGTCTCCTCCATAGCCCAGAGCAGAGCAGCTCGAACCACTTTGAGATACTCTTCACTTGGGCCCCCAGACATCGCGAACAAAGCATCATCCATAATGGAGTCAAATGCTTTACGAGTGGGTCTATACAGGAGTTGCTTGACCTTTGTTGCCCCTTCCAGACGCCCTTTGAGAAAAGATTTCGAACTGCCTAGCAAGGTCACTTTGGCCACAATATCCTCCAAAGAAACCATGGCCATCGAAACCACTGAATATAGGGGCCTTAATAATTAGAATAGGGTTCCTTTAAAGGGTTCCTTAACCAGAGCCATAAAAGGATCTATAGTAGGGGTCTATGATAGAGGGGGCTTAATAATCGACATAGGGCTGGGGGGGGGTCATTACAATACGGAGCCCCGGCAATAGTATTGCTAGATAGTAAGGGCCCATATAAAACTTGAACCCTCAACCTTAAAGACAGCTACGTATGTGCGTAAGCAATGTAGGTAACAGTACTTCGGTCACAGACAAAGGCTCAAGAAGCTGGAGCCCCAAATCTAGAATCTAGATGAAAACACTGTGCAAACAGCTGTAAGCCGGCTGCATAGCTACTACAATCCCAACTCTCCCACCCCAGAAGCCCTAAAGAAAGAAACGCAAGGGCTCCAGGCAACGCTCAACCAGTGAGAGAAAAGAAATCCCTAAACAACACCCTAAACCCTAAACCCTAAATCCTAAACCCTAAACCCTAAACCCCAAGACCCTGAACCTCCCGAATCCCTAAGCCACGACACTAAACACCCAAACCCGCAAACCCCTAACAATTACCGCCTAGTGCTTAGTAGGGGGTCCATCTATAATCCCCAATACTCGTCCCCATAATCCATTCCCTCCTTCCCTACTAAGAACCAGACAGATTAAAAGACCAAGCCGTGAACCCCAATCCCATAAAACATCCACCACCCAATCCCAAAGGGCGAGGAATAGTATTCCTAACTATTCAGACCCCCTGGCCTTATAGTACAGCAAATACCGAGTATTGACGAGGTACTCCAAGTGCTCTAAACACAGGCTCTATGTAACCCCAAAGACCCAAAGAGTCCCCAGCCCAAGCTTAAACCCTAAACTCAAATCCCTTAATCCTTTAATCCCTTAATCCCTAAACCACAATCCCTAACCCCTAGACCCTCAAACCCTATAATCCCTAAGCCTCAAAACCTTCAAACCCGAAGCCCCAAACCCCCCAACCCCACCAAAACCCTAAAACCCGTCTTGTAGTACCTTTATGGATCCCTTTAAAGGAACCCGTAATGAAACCTAAGCCCTAAACCCCAAAAACCCTGCTCTAGGCCTCCAGATCCAAATTCCCAAGTTCCAGCAGGACCTGGTGAAAGCCCCAAACCCAATTAGGATTTAGGGCTTAGGGTTTGGGGCTTAGGGTTTGGGGTTCAGGGTTTGGGGTTTAGGGTTTACCTAGATCCCCCGGCCACCCTCTACCCTAAATGAGCAGTATGAGAGACCATTAAAACTCCATTTAAGGGCACTTGGGGGGTTTAGGGCTTTGGGAAGGAATGGTTTGTGTAATAAGGGCTTCTGGGGCTAAGGGCTTTAGGGCTAAAGAGTCTGGGGCCGTGGCTGCTTGCGGTTCACAGAACACCCAAGTGACACAGGGCTCCTCTTAGAGTTTTCTGAACGTTTTCTAGACGGCTTCTACAAGGCTTATAGGGGCTACATATCTGAGATGTGAACAAGCGCAGCGAACTAATTTAATACCGCTGGACTATGCAACTTTGACCAACTTTCCTTAGATCTGACCAAACAAAAGATTACCGAATACCTTTATGGTTGATCTAAAACATAGGATTTGATAGAACTAGGGTTTGGATTCTGAGCGGGCATGCGGCCTCTATACACTGGAACTGGCTGCTAACTGACTTAAGAAAAGAAGCCAGAAGTCGCAGGGCGCGAAACCCCCGAGCCATCTACAACTCTAAGCTAACTAAACCTGGCTCCTTGCTAAGGGCACACATCTTCTCTGTACAGCCCCATATGGGAGTTTCCGAAAATGGGGGACTCTAATGTAGCACCTTTATATAGTAGGATCCTTAATATAAGGACCCCAAAATGCTACCGCAGGACGAAAGTTCGCCATACAACATGAAGTTGAGAGATCACCACATGTTCACCCCTTATCCCCCGTAGAATCCTAGCACAACCCCGCAAAGCTCTCCGCCGGAAACCATAGAATAGTATAAATTTATTCCCGGAAAGTAATTACTCCGCCACGCTGGCCACGTAAAATGGGTCTTGGGGGTCTCCGCCTCTCCGCGGCATACATCCATGTTATAAGCTGCATGTCGAAACTTTCGGCCCGGTGGTGTAGGTCACAGCCTAAGTTTCGGAAACTCGCAAATATCGCCCCCACCAAAGCGATACCACTCTTTTCCCCCCTGGCGCTGACTGTAGATCATACAACCAATCATCTCTCAACCCTCAACCCTACCTCGACTCCCCAACTACCCTCTAATCCTACTACAGAAACCCAATAGATCCCATTTAAGGGACCCGAAACTAAAAAAAAACCTAATTTAGGTACTATAGGGGCCTGAATAATTACCTATACTATTCTTTGGGGGTTCCTTGCTATATTTATAGTAATAAGAATGGCCCCCAAGACCCTGTTCTACTTATTAATTAAGGCCCCTACATGGGTGGTGGTCAAAATTATGGTCGCTTTTGGGGTCCTTAATATTTAGGGTACCCAAAAAGGGACCCCAATAATGACAACCACCCACATGAAGCTATACTGAACTTAGAACCCTAGCAAAAATTACAATTTTAGCTGTTTCTTAGGGATTGTAATAACGAAAAATTAAAAACTATTTCTAAGTACCCCTAAGGAGGGTATTCGAACCTTCAAAACGGTCCGGGCCTCGGCGACCCTCCCTCGACCGAACGCCGCTTTGCGCACGCCCAGCCGGAAGAGTGCCCAAAGCATCTTCGCAACCTTGCGAGTTTAGGGTTTAGGGATTATAGGATTAAGGGATTCGGGTTCAGCGTTTAGGGTTAGCGTTTAGCGGTTTAGGGTTTAGGGTTAAAGGATTCGGGTTTAGGGTTTACCTGTAGCCGAATGGGCCTACCTTTTTGGTTTCTATGTATAGTTCCTTAAAAAGGTAGGTCTTTTCGGCTACAGGCAGGGTTAGCGTTTAGGGGTTTCGGGGTTAGAGTTTCGGGTTTGGGGGCTCCGGATTTAGGGCTTGCGAGTCTGGCGTTTCGAAGGCTCTGGGCTTACCTTGCGCTTTAGGCGATTGGGGGGTCCTTTGTTAAAGAAGTTCTATAAGGGTACTTTCAGGGTGTAAAGGTTTAGGGGCTACTTCTCTAGGTTTCGATCTCTTAGGGGCTGAAAATCCCTAGCCCCCGCAACGCCAAAGATGACCTATTCAGCCCCGAAGTCGGCGATTGTGGGTTCAGAAAGTTTATGGTTTTCCAAGGTTTAGGTTAGTACCCTTTAGCCCTGTAATGGTGCGATAATAGGAATATAATAGGACCCTAATTTAGTCCTTATAGTCACTATAACAGGGAGGGGGGCGGCCTTCTATGGTTTAGGGTTTGGGGGCTTGCAGTGTAGGTAGGGTTGGGGGGTTCAGGGGGTCAAGAGTGTAGGGGCTAGGGGTTTCGGGGTTTACGGTTTAAGGAAAGCTTATAAGGGTTGTTATAGGGCTTAGGGAAAGCACATCGAACGTTTGGCAACTTCGATGTCTGGATCGTCCGATTCCAAACTCCAAACTCTAAAGCTCTCAACCCGCGACCTTGTCTAGGATACCCAGTAACCTAAGAATAAAAAGGCCTCTCTTTTTGGTATTGGGTAACATTATAAGGAACCTAGGACTACAAAAAGGGAATAAGGGTACTACTGGGCATCCTAGTTGTGGTCTCACTACACGGGCCCTAATTAGAATAGAACTTCAGGGTCGAGATATGCTCTTATTATACATACATCCACTAACCCTACCGTATATTAATCGGTCAAGCCCCTTTCCCTAAACCCTAAACCCCTAAACTCTGACCCCTAAACCCCTAAACCCTTTCTTCTGGGAGGTGCGGCTTTGGAGTTAAACCCCCAACCCGTGCTAAACCGTACACCCTACCTAGACCCGACCCCCCACCAACTACCCCGCCTACTAATTTACCTGAAATACCCGCCATTAATTAATCAAGGCTCTATTGGGCTGCACTTGGAGGCTTTCTTCTACTCTGCTACACCAAACCTTCCAGTGCCAAGGATGAACCTCGGTCGGCCGCCTTGGAGGCCATCGCGCCACCTGCGCAGCTGTACGTACAGGGGTTTAGGGTTTGGGGCTTCGGGTTTACGGTCTAGCGTTTAGGGGAAGCAACACATGAATTACTGGTTCGCGCTACCCCTGAACCCTGAACTCTAAGGCTCCGGTGCGTGGAGGGTTCGGGGACTTCGCAAGTAGGTCTAGGGTTTACGGGTCTGGGGGTTTAGTAGGAAATAAGTCTAAGTAGAGTTATAAGTGCTGCAACCCTAATTAATCCTAAAACCTCCCCACCGTGGGAGCCCTGAGCCCTTAAGTCCTACTTGTATGCAGTTGCGGAGGTCGGCTGCGCCAGTATTTGGGGTTTAGACTTTCGAAATTTAGAGTTCAGGGAAGTTGGGCTACTTTTAGGTTCGAGCCCGCTTCTTCCTGCAGCTAGCTTTAGAGTCTAGCTAGGGACTGGAGGAGTTAGAGGAAGGTTACGGTTTCGCAGATCCCGTTCTGATCCGGGAGGTCACACTGGGAAGAAGAAGGCCTTTGCGTTGCCATTGACTTGCTTGCAAAAGAATGCCCGTCTGTGCAATTTCTTTTGTTACAAAAGTAGTTCTGCGATTAGACAACTTATGAGTACCTTGAGTGTTGCCCTGGACTCTAAAGCAGCAGGCAGAACTTTGGGCCGCACAAGTTGAGACAAGGCTTGCCAAGTTCAAGGATGGTTGCCGACATAGTGGCGGTTAACACATTCCGGGTTCAGGGTTTAGGGCATCCTCTTGTATCGAGCCTCTTGTCTTCCAGTACACGACTTTCTGCAACACACCAATGCTCCAAGACCCTAATCACCCGTTCAGCAATGAGGCGGCCCGTCTGCTATACCCCCCTTAGAAACATTATTGAAATATTGTGTTCTTTCGACTCACTTGGGTTTTATATGAACAAACATTTTTAAAAAAAATCCTAAGGAGACTAAACCCTAAACCCTAAACCCCTAAACCCTAAACCCCAAAAAAATCCAAAGGAGACTAAACCCTAAACCCTAAACCCCTTAACCCTAAACCCCAAAAAAAATCCTAAGGAGACTAAACCCTAAACCCTAAACCCTAAACCCCAAAAAAAATCCCAAGGAGACTAAACCCTAAACCCTAAACCCCTAAACCCCTAAACCCTAAACCCCAAAAAAAATCCAAAGGAGACTAAACCCTAAACCCTAAACCCCTAAACCCTAAACCCCAAAAAAAATCCTAAGGAGACTAAACCCTAAACCCCTAAACCCTAAACCCAAAAAAAAAACAAAGGAGACTAAACCCTAAACCCTAAACCCCTAAACCCTAAACCCAAAAAAAAATCCAAAGGAGACTAAACCCTAAACCCCTAAACCCTAAACCCCAAAAAAAATCCAAAGGAGACTAAACCCTAAACCCTAAACCCCTAAACCCTAAACCCCAAAAAAAATCCAAAGGAGACTAAACCCTAAACCCTAAACCCCTAAACCCTAAACCCCCAAAAAAAATCCAAAGGAGACTAAACCCTAAACCCTAAACCCCAAAAAAAATCCAAAGGAGACTAAAGTATGTAAGGCCCAGAGAGATGAAGCTCCCCGCAGCCTCCGGACATGAAGGTACTTGAAGGCTCATGGGACTCAGTAAGTAAAGTTATAAGTAGGTTATAATTAGGAGAACCCCACTTAGGGGACTTATAACCCCAATTATAACCTACTTATACTAAGTCCCATGATCCTCTAAGTACGGACCCAGCTGCACTTTCTTGTACAGGCAACCCTAAAAAAGTCTGCGTTTAGGGGTTTAGGGTTTAAGGGTTTAGGGTTCAACCCTCAACTTCAATCCTCTTAACACCGAGCCTAAACTCACAGACTTTAAGGCCTAAAAACCCCGAAGCCCTGTATAACCGCCCCCAAAACCCCTCAAGCCTGTAACACCCCGAAACCCCGAACCCTCAACCCCGAGCCCTCGCCCTAAAGCCCTGAAACACCGAAAATCCCTAACTGAAGCCCTACCTCAACCCCGAATAGCCTACCTTTTAGTGGACGTATTATACAAGGAAAGCATAATAAGGAGCCCCATAAAAGGTAGGTTATTCAGGGCTAAGGTAATCAGCCTCGTGGCAGATGCCCTGGATGACACGGGGCTCCTCACAGCGAGTCAAGTGGTTTTGGATCCGAAGGGGGGGGCTTTGGGCTTCTGGCTTTGGGGTGTAAAGGTTTGCAGCTTTCAGGCTTGAGGGGCTTAGGGTTTAGGGTGTTCAGAATTTAGGGTTTTCGGGGTTTAGGATATCTTTCTCTGATTTTGAGCTCCCTTCTTTGGGGTGTATGCCAGTGTTCTTTCTTTACGAGCTCCTGTTCTCGGAGTTACTATGAGGTGGAGCATAGAGCATAGCGCAAAGCCTTCGTGGCGGCAAGGTTAAGCGTGTACCTAGACCTCTCAACTACGCTCAACAAAGTCCCCCGACCCTCAAAGTAGAGCTCAGGTTTGATGGTTTGCAGGCTTGAAGACGGCAAAACTTTTGGAAGCAAAGGCTGTCAATTTCGAGATAAAGGAGCGGGCGCTCAGCCTTTCAGTTACGGTTTGGGGGAAAGTTTAGGATTTCGGGGATTTACATGGTTCCGAGTTTAGGGTTTACGGGGTTTCGGAAATTTCTTTAGGATTTGGGAAACGAGCGATAAGTCAAACCCGGAACACCAAGCTCCACCTCCAACTCTCCGAAACAGAGTCAAAGCCTACTCTCCCCAACACTGTCCCGTAAACCCATTAAACCCTAAACCCCTAAAGCCTAAACCCGAATTTCTTGCAGCCCAATGGCTCCCCTCAAGTGAAAACAGAACACACAAAGGGCATAACAAAAGGAAGAAGCGTTCACTTGGGTAGTCCTCTAAATTGGGGTACCTTTTTTAAGGCCCGCAAAGAATACGGCACCCTATGCAAATGGCACCTTAATTTTAGAGAACTATAAACCCATCAACAGGCAGAAACAGCCGCTACCCAATCTCTTGAACACTGGACAACCCCAGGTATGAAACTTTACACCCTCGCCCGAACCATAACCCCCCTTAGAGCCATAATAAGCGCAATATCTCTAACATTCTCTCGGCTGTTCTATGAACACAAATAGAAACAATTGTAAAGGAGACTATAAGCCCTAAGCCCTAAACCCCTAACCCCTAAACGCCCGAAAAGGGACGTCCTCCACGCCCAGGGTGGCCAGAATGTGCAGGAAGGCCACGGGAGACCTGACAGTTTCTTTCGCCACTGTGGGGTTCGGGGATGGATAAGGTATAGGACCAGGACCCCCCAATGGCCCTGTAATGGAGCCCTTATGGTCCTTAATAGTGGGAGGGTAGTTGGGGGGTCTAGGGAGTTTAGTGATTTAGAGGTTTGGGATTTAAAGGTTTCGGGTTTAGGGTTGTGGGGTTAGAGATGGTTAATATGGGGGGCTTAATAATTAGAACTAGAATAGGATTTCGATTTTTGGGTCCATTATACTATCATTACTAATATAGGAGCCGAGATAATTACCAATACAATTTAGGGGGCTCCTTATTAAAATCAGAGTCTAATGGGCATCAAGACCCGATTCTAATTATTAAGGCTCCTATATCAATATTATGGTGGCTTTCCCTCCCTCCTTGGCCTGGACAGGCCCTCCTCTTCTGACTCGATGAACAACTCCAAGGCCTTGCAAGGACAACTACGTTTAGGGTTTAGGATTAGGGTTTCTGGGTTGTGCTGTAAACCCTTTGAAAAACCCTAAACCCTAAACCCTAAACCGTGGATAGGTTCCCTTTACAAGGAAATAAGGGAAAGTAAAAATTATCCCAAAGCACAACCCAGGTTTGAGATTTGGGGTTTAGGGTTTTTGGTTGAAGGCTTAGTGCCTAGGGTGTAGGCTTTAGGGCTTTAGGGTCGAGAGCTTCCAGAGCTTAAAGCGGAGCTGAAGGGTTAAGTTGGTGGTATAGGCGCCAAGGTTTAGGGTTCGGGATTTCTGGCTTAGCTTGGGCTTCGGAAACTGGGATACCCAGTAACCTAAGAATAACAAGGCCTCTCGTTTTGGTATTGGGTAACTTTATAAGGAACCTAGGACTACAAAAAAGGGGAATAAGGGTACTACTGGGCATCTTAGGAAACATTGCTGCGAGCTCTGTCGCCCTAAGCCCCGAAGGCAGGGACTAGAGAGCGGACTATTCGTGACGAAGCATGGCAATCTACAGCTACTTAGAGGCTCGGGGGCCTTAGTAAGGGAAGTAGCCTAATTGGGATTATGATACCTGTAAGTCTATAGAATATCTGCTTACTAAAACCCCCGACCCTCCAAGCAAAGTCATCACACTTACTGGTAATTCTTTAAGCCCCTATACTCACTGGCCCAAAACCCAAGGGAATAAAAGTTGAAACTTTCAGACTCGACAACCTTATAAGAACCCCAAAAGTTGAAAAGTTGAGTTTACAGCCAGTATGTATATTATTAGGTTCGATAGCACCCTGGCCTCAGGAGATAGTCGTCACTGCAGTAGGCTTGTGGATTTGAAGGCTTAGACTTGCAGGACTTGGGGATGTGCCGGGTCCCAGCCCTTTCCAAAATCCAGAAGTTCCGGATCCTCCAAATGGGTTCGTAGCTGTTTAGGTGCTCGTGTCGAAACTTTCTACCCCAAAGCCCGAAGTCAGGCATCAACAGCCTTACAAAAACTACAAAAAAAATCTTGTTAAACAAAACCCTTCAAAACCCTGTTAACAACCTGCCGAACTTATAAAACCCAATACGCAAGCCCATCAAATACAAATCAAGTGGGCTTTGAAGTAGCTAGGGACAAGTTATACACGCATATCCAATAATGGTTCCTTCAAGGAACAGGTTCAACAAAAACTAACAAACTCTGGTATCCCCAAAACCGTTTGACACACATTTCTGTCATGTTAGATTAGACTAGATTGTATCATATTTTCCGTTCTGTCACAATAATATTAAAAGCAGTGACCTGGCCTTACTCCAGCACCCGCACGTGTCGCAGGCGAGAATGCAAGTGTCGCAGAGGATCTCGTTGGGTCCATCCTGGCTTGTGGAGCTAAAGCTTCGGGCTGCTTTACGGGTTCTTTAGGTTTTAGGGCCTAGGATGGTTTCAGGGTTGAGGGTTTGGGGCTTAGAGTTTGGGTTTAGGGCTTAAAGTTTAGGTTTCGGGGTTTGAAGTTTTGGGTTTGGGTTGCTTGGACTTAGGTGTTTGGATTTTGGGCCTAGGGCTTCTAGTTGGGTCACCGTAGCACTCAGAGTTTCAGGATTCAATTTTTGAGTCAGTTTTGGGTGTACGGTCTTACGGCTTATAGGTTTGGGGAATTTGCTGCGTAGGTAGACCCGTAAAGGAATCCTGAACTCAAGCTCGGCACCCGATTCTTCAAAGGGCTTGGCGACGTACACCTTGAAATATACATCTTAAAACGATGGCAGCCACAAGCTTCAGGGGTGTTTTGGTTGAGGTTCATAGGGTCAGTCTGGGTGATATGCAGGAAAGACTCAAGTGCTAGTTCCATGTGTTTAGCTAGATGATACTGGAAAGTAGTGGAGCTACATGAAAAAATAACCCCACCATAGAAGCCACACAACAGCAGCCGGTTCTTTCTGTTCTCCCGCATCGTCTTGCTCGGTCTGGGAGGCCTCGTTATGCACCTGCTGCTGACGGCGCCACTGCTGGTTCTAATGCCCAGAGCCGCTCCAAGAGGACAGCGAAACATGGGGCATGGAAGCGAATTCGCCTCTAGTCGCCCGCTCGTTTTCTGCAACCTCCCTGTCTTCCAAGCCTCTGCTGGTGGGCTAACGCGTTCGGGAACTGCTCGCCAGTGTCATGATTGACTTTCACGTGCGCCAGTACGAGCTTCCACTATAAGAGTGCTACTGGTATGGTCGGCACCATGCCTTGGACAAGGCGAGCACTGCATCCAAGAGTGCCGGGCCACGGGTAGAAAGCCTCTCTTGTTCTTCGCGGCTTCGGAGGCCTTGCTGAGGTCGCGAGCCACCGCACCATGCTTGGCATTCTGCAGACTGGACACGAGCTTCGAAATCTGACGGACCAGCTGCATGGCATCACCCCACAAATCCATGGGGAACACAGCTGGGCAGGCACCCTTGTTAAGTACTCTACATCGTTGCGAGCAAAACGTCATCGTATTGCGTCAAAGTCCACACCCCAAGCTTGCCAACATACAACGAAGCAGCCACTAAGTAACAAACACACCACTAATGGCCACCAATAACCTTTCGGTTCATCCATCTCACGGATCGGCATCTTCGGCTTAGGATAAAGGATTTGGAGAGTATGGAGTTCAGAGTTTGAAGCTTTAGGGTAGGGAGATAGCTCTGGCGGGGCCTTCGGCTCAGCACGATTTACTTGGTGCAACCATGTTCATTGTACGGAACCCTAGGTTCCTACCTACACCCTAAACCCTAAACGCACTATTAAAAGAGCCCAGAAAGGCCCCGGCCCCCATCAATCCTTCCCCGCAGCAGCTTCCAGCCTTGTCGGTGGACGTCTCCCTCAATACCTGCCCAGTGCGGGAAGCTCGTTTTGGAGGTCTTCGCGTGTTCAGGGTTTAGGTCTCGGGCGTAGGACACTGATCAGACTCTTAAGGAGCCCTTTATACACTCGCACCAAAGCCCGCGTATTGCTGTATACCGTGTTTGATTTAGGAATGAGAACAAGCGGATTTCACATGTGCTTAGACGACCGGTGTTCGGTTTCGGCCTAACTTGAAAATCTACCTAGAGACCCATGATAGTAGAGTATATGGTTTTAAATGCGTGGTCAAGCCAAGGCTGTGGGTACTATGGAATTCATGACACTGTGCTTGTTCAACCACCAGGTGTTGCGAAAGTACGCTTGTGCTCGTTGTCATTCAGGATCTTACGTCTTACCTTAACCCCGAATAACCTACCTTTTTTTAGGACTCATATAAACATATAGAAACCATAAGAAGGAACCCTAAAAAGGTAAATTCTTCATGGTTAAGGCAGGCCTACCGACAGTCCAAAAACGATCCAAACATCAACCGCAAGCCGCAGTCCCACTCTCACCCTAAACCATGAACTCTGACCCCAAGTCATGGAGTTAAAACACAAACCCCTACCTAGAGCCCACCCCCTAACCCCAATAATTCAGCCCTAGTGCTTTATATAACTTAAACCACTAAGCCCTAAACCCTCGACCCTCAACCCCTAAACAAACCTAGACCCCAACCCGGGTCCTAAAAGCGTCGGCTCGCAGCCCGGCCACACAGCCCTAAATTCCGAAGCAAGCTTACCAGGACCCCCCCCCCGAGGGCTCTGGCCCGTTTTCCTTGCACCTTCTGAACCTTGCGGACTCTGAGCCGAAGCCGAACCGTCGCTCAACATTGTGCGCGGTTTAGGGTTTAGGGTTTAAGGTTTAGGGTCCGCCAGCGCAGCTGGCGCCTATAGGCAACCCTGTGGGAAAAACAAGGGGCTCCGGCCCTTAGCCCTAAAGCGTTCGTTGACGCGAACCTCGCCCACGTTCGTTCGGGGCGGACGAACGACTGGGCGCCGGACGGACGGACGGACCATCTGGACACGAGGGACGGACGGACGCACGAGCACGCAAACGTAGCGACGCGATAGGAAAACAACAACGACAATTGCCGAAACAAATTTGTTTTCGCGATTTCGTTCACTTGCAAGCCAAACCCGATACCCAAATCACCACCACAACTCCAACGTCGGGACCGCAAAGATTGAATGTGTGGACGAACGGACGGATGAACGGACGATCCCAGGAACGGCCGGAAAGATGCATAGACGAATAGAGGACCGTATAAAGCGCTGAAAGCGCAGGAGGAGCGGATGGATGACGAACGAATGGGCGAATGCGGATGGACGTCTGGACGAACGGACGCGATAATGGGAGAAATAAATGATCCGAAGAGGACAGATCGCGAACGAACAAGGCGGACGTGGACAACGGACGATTGGGTGCACGGTCAGTTGTATGGAAGAAGGTTCTAAAGACTCGGTGATTAGAGAAATGCGTGAATCGGTGAGAGTTCGGACGAAACGGAAGATTCTCGATGTGTGTGTGTGTGTGTGTGTGTTTGTGTGTGTGTGTGTGTCTCTGTGTCTCTGTGTGTCTCTCTGTGTCTCTCTGTGTCTCTCTGTGTCTCTGTGTGTCTCTGTGTGTCTCTGTGTGTCTCTGTGTGTCTCTGTGTGTCTCTGTGTGTCTTTGTGTGTCTCTGTGTGTCCCTGTGTGTCTCTGTGTGTGTGGGTGTGTGTGCGTGTGTGTGCGGGTGTGTGTGTGGGCGTGTGCGCGCGTGTGTGGGCGTGTGTGGGCGTGTGCGGGCCTGTGTGGGCGTGTGCGTGCGTGTGTGGGTGCGTGCGTGCCTGCGGGCGCTTGTGCGTGTGTGTGGGTGCGTGTGCGTGCGTGTGGGCACGCGTGCGTGCGTGTGGGGTGGGCGCGTGTGCGTGCGTGTGGGCGCGAGTGTGTGCGTGTGGGCGCGTGTGCGTGTGTGTGGGCGCGTGTTCGTGCGTGTGGGCGTGTGTGTGCACGCGTGTGGGCGCATGTGGGCGCGTGTGGGCGTGTGTGTGGGCGTGTGTGTGGGCGCGTGTGCCTGCGTGTGGGCGTCTGCGTTCGTGTGGAGGTGTGCGGGCGTGTCGGCGTGTGGGCGTGTGCGTGCGTGTGGGCGTGGGCGTGTGGGCGGGTGCGTGCGGGCGTGTGCGTTTGCGTGTGCACGTGCGCGTGCGCGTGCGCGTGCGCGTGCGCGTGCGCGTGCGCGTGCGCGTGCGGGTGCGTGTGCGTGTGCGTGTGCGTGTGCGTGTGCGTGTGCGTGTGCGTGTGCGTGTGGGTGTGTGTGTGGGTGTGGGCAATTGCGTGCGTGTGGGCGTGTGCGGGTGGGCGTGTGTGCGTGTGCGTGTGGGCGTGTGTGGGTGCGCGTGTGGGGATGTGCGTGTGGGGGTGTGCGTGTGGGTGTGTGGGTGTGTGTCTGTGTGTGTCTGTGTGTGTGTGTGTGTGTGTGTGTGTGTCTGTGTGTGTGTGTGTGTGTTCGTCTGTGTGTGTATGGTTGGGGCTGGGGCTCGGGCTGGGGTTGTGGCTGTGTGGGTGTGGGTGTGTGCGTGAATGTTTGTGCGGGAGCGTGTTGTGTGGCGTGCGGCGTATATTGCGTCGCGGGGGCGGGTTGTATGGGAGTTAAATTGTACGTTCTATTTATGGTGGGTTGTGAGTAAACTTAGTTCTGGAGGGCGGGGTGGACTGCGAGAATCGAGATGGAGAACACGATATTACTTAAGATTCATTAGAATATTCGGCAGGTATATATATATATATATTAATATTAGATAACCGATAACTAAAAACTTTTTATATATTATTCATATTCATATGTTGGTATATTTTTCAATTAGTATTTGAAATATTCTTTTCGAATATGAAAATTTTTCATTAGATGATATGAAACGGAATATTTTGCGTTTTTTTGAATATTCTGGAATTTCAGATATTGAAACTATTGATAAATTAAATTTTCGAGTTCAATGTTTATAAATCATAGTATTATGTTATATGTATATTCATTATTGTAAGATTTTTTCAAACAATAGAGGTATTCTTGTTACAGCGAATTCATTTATAGAAATATGAGTAATTCATACTCATTTTTATTTCAGAATTCTATTTATTTGACTGTATAAAATTTCAATTCGTTCTATATATTTGCCTATCTTTAAAATAGCATTGATGTTTTGTTATCAGAATCATAAAAAAACAGGAGTTTATTCTTTCCTAATATTCAGTATGCAAGATTTCATCATAATATGCAATGAAGAATCTCCTATTATTTCGGCATTTTTATAAGATCTGGAGTTGTAATAGTATTGGATTTATTTTCGATTTATGTAAAAACATGAATTTTCATTTCGAATATGGTGGTAATTTGAATAGGTAGAGTTCATTATGGGTATTTAGATTTCATCTATAGAATTTTAAAGGATTTCTATTCTACTTATTCCAAAAGTTATACCGGGAATTTGGAATTTCATTCCATTATAATCTAGACAAGATATTCAAATAATGAATCGAAAATTTTTGTTATGGAAAGATTCAATAATATGATTTTCCAGCACGAATTATTCACTTGGTTTCGAATCCTTTGAAGATAGGAAGAATTCTTGTATTAATTTCCATAATATAATTTATAGCATTAATAGATTCATTTTTCTAAGATTTTCGATTTTTTTGATATAATATATTCTTCATGCTCAATTATAACTATTAATATTTCGCTTCTTATTTTTCGAGTTATAATATTGAGAATTTGGATATGAGAAACTGTTCTGAATTATGAAAATTTTGCAAAACACATATTTATGTATATATTCTAATTTGTGTCGTTTGATAAGAACAATAAGAAAACTTGTAGATATGAATAAGATAAATACTAAGATGTTAAGCATCTGCAAAAAAAGAAGGCGGCGTTGCCATCGTTTCCCCCACTGCCAGGAGCCTGCGAGTCAGCCTGGCAGCCCAGCTGACTTCACGCGCAGGTTGCCAAGCCGGGCATCGCTGGCTTAGCGTAAAACTCTGAAAGATAGCCCAAAAAGCCTCTGAATCTGACGCTGCGATTTCTGTAAAAACGTCGTCCTGGCAAGTGACAGACAACACTTGTGCGGTGGCATGCCTTGCTAGCCTTACCATAGCGGCGTCACCCCAGATACGCCAAACACACACACACACACAAGCACGCATAAAACTCTGAAAGATAGCCCAAATAGCCTCTGAATCTGACGCAGCGATCTCTGGAAAAGCGTCGTCCTGGCAAGTGACAGACAACACTTGTGCGGTGGCAAGCCTTACCATAGCGCCGTCACCCGAAATACACCGAAGACACACACACACACAAGCACAGCGCGACCTGCTCTTCAGGCAGCGGCTGCTGCTGCTGCGCTTCCACACCTGCGCATCTTAGAGATACTACAGCCCCGACACGACTCAGCCAATTTCTTCGCCAGCTCATCCGCCCACCTGCAGCAGAGCCTGAGCCTCCTGGCGACCTTCCAAGCGACGCTCCAGCTGCGACGAAAACGTATATCTGGACAAACTAAGGAGGCTTCTGCAGCAGCCGCGCTTGCTTGACACGCTCCTGGAGAACGCGTTGCCGACGATGAAAACTTTCAAGACAGCAGAAACGCACAACAACGCTTTGAATTGAGACAGCTTCACACCTCACAGAACGTATATTCCAGGCATCGCAGTTCTGAAGCTGCCGGGGGGCGTTGCGCTACAAGTTCTAATTGCTCTGGGCGTGGCGCTTTTTCTAGATATCTACAAGCACATACATTCGGACACATCCAAGCATATGCGCATAGGTAAGGAAGAAATCGCCTATGAACGCACACACACACAAGAAACATCGATAGGGAGCACGAATCCTGCTCGTCATCCTCCAGCTTGCGCTTATTTCCGGCACCCTGGTGTCAAGTTGAGCTCTCAACCTATTGTCCAGAACATTGGGCTTCCACAGCCTGGCCCAAAATGACAGACAACACT